AAATAGGCTGGGCGGCCGATGGCTGCGATGGCCTGTAGTCCCAGCTACTCAGGAGCAAGATTGCTTGAGGCCAGGAGTTTGAGGTTGCTGTGAGCTAGGCTGACGCCGCGGCACTCACTCTAGCCTGAGCAACAGAGTGATTCTCTCTCAAAAAAAAAAAAAGAGTCCAGAGTTTGAACCAAGCAAACTGGGTCCATATTCCACTTCTCCTGCCTCCTAGCTGTGCAGCCCTGAGCAGGTCACTGGGCTTCTTTGAGTCTCAGTTTCCCCCTCCATAAAATGAAGGCTGTGAGGACTGGACCACAAGTGCAGGGCTCTGTTCTCATCTGTTCTGAGGAGCAGGCCCAGGGGGCTGGAACCAGGGTGGGTGGCTTGCTAGCTTTGCTCAGAGGCAGGACGCAGGCAGGAGGCGGGGGTGGGCTGCCCGAGCTGACTGCAGGGCCCCTCATGGTTCCCCTAGCATGATGTTTCTATTCAGTGAGGCGGGAGTCCATGGATTGACCAGGTGACGCAGACTACCTCCGACATCCGGGTGCTCCAGGTCATTGTGAACAGAAGGTACCGGGGGCGGCGCGTACTGGTCCTGGGTTGGCAAGAGAACAGACATCTGCCTCCTCAAGCTTGAGGGTGCTCCAGTACAACAGCTATGTCTGGCCCATCTGCCTGCCTGGCTTGGACTATGCGCTGAAGGAGAATGCCGTCTGCACTGTGACGGGCTGGGGACTTCCCAAGACTGACGGTGAGTCAGGCCTCCCGACCAGGGTGGGTGGTGTGAGAGAGGACCTGGGTGCAGGCCGGGGGGTGCCACCATGACAGGGGCTTCTCAGCGCCTTCCACGGAGCCCGCTGCCTCCAGGACCTTCCTTTTGGGCTCTCATCTCTGAGGTCTGCTTTCCCTGACGGTCTCAGCAGCGGACACATCACAGCCATCCAGGGCCTCTGAGGACCTGATTGCCCTGGAATCCTCAGCCAGGCCCGGGCATGGAAACAGAGCTGCCTCGGAGGCGGGGAGGGCACAGAGTAACATCTTGCAGGCCACACACAAGCCCAGGGCATCCACAACTCGAAGCAGAGTGTGCGAAGCGAGGGGAGCAGGCTTGTGTCTGGAGAACGCTCCCGGAAGGCCCTCATGCCGGCTAGGGCAGTCTGCACCTGGAGGTCGGAGTCACTTGGGGTTGCTCATGTCCCTCCTCCCCTTAGTGGGCCTCAATCCTCGTCGCCCAATTTAGGAGGGAAGGCTCTAAGAGCAGGCATGTTCTCTCAGGGCCCTATTTGGTAGTTCCATTTCCTGACGAGCCTAGGAATGCCCATTCCTGTTAGGGAGCCTTACCCGCAAGAGAATGCCCTTCCCTTGTGGGAGCCGTCTCACCCCCAGAACAGCCCACGGGCCTTTAGTCCATTGGGAGGAGGGTAGCAGTGACTTTGTCAGCCCTGCCATGGCCTGTCTGGGGAACGCTGGAAGCAGCCTGAAGTCTCCTATCTGCCCAGGAGCTCAGGCCAGGACACGACACACTGTGGGGGGGGAGGAAAGAGGAGCAGTGCCTGGGATTTGTGGAGGGGGCTGGGAAAACTCAGTGGGGGGGAGGGCTTGACAGCAGGAGGGATTTAGACCTAGAGAGGCTTGGCGGGCATTCGGGGATGGAAGGAAGGGCAAAGCCAAGATGTGACGGGTAGGGGCAGAGGGATGCTAAGAGACTCGGCGGGCTGGCTCTGCAGGAGCAAGCGCCGGTCCAGCAAGGCCAGATCTGAGGGCAGCCTGCTCTAGGTCTCTGTATCAAGGGCCCTTGAGGGCTAGCAGCTAGAATGGAGGCGATTGTGCTGGAGAGATCTCCATGGCCACTGTGTGGCTAGTAGAGGAGGCTGGGGGGAGTGGGAGAGCGGAGAGAGGATGGGGATGAGGGTGGTGGCCACTTGAACAGGGCCCCGTCCTACAGGTTGTGGCCCAGTTCCGGACCATTCAGGAGAAGGAAGTCACCATCCTGAACAACAAGGAGTGTGATGCACTTTATCCACAGTTCTCAAAATCCCTTCCCTGATTCCCATCATCAACTCCCAAGATGATTTGTGCAAAGGACATACCAGGGAAGAGTTCTGCTATGTAAGCACACCTCCCAGCTCACTCACCTCCGAGGGCACCTGGCCAGGGCGAGGAGGGCGTGGAGAGGACTGAGTGCAGGTGGCGGCAAGGAGGCGATCGTCAGAGATGGGCAAGAGGAAGGACGAGAGAAGCAGGGGTCCGGAGCAGAATGGAGGTTGGAGGTGTGGGGGTGGGCAGAGATGGAGGGTGGTGCGAAGGGAGATGAGGCTCTTGAGAAAGGTCTGGGTCCGTAGCGCCTCTCAGTGTGTTGGCACTGGGTGGCTGTGGAGGACCTGTGGGAGAGCTGCTTGTCCCTTTCTGGGTCCACGCTCCCTCAGGCCTCGCCTGCCTCCCTAACTATTTTACCCCCTTCCCCCCGGAGGAGATGTCTGGGGGAGCTTTGGTCCTGCTCCACGGAGAGCACGTGGTACCGGTAGAATGGGTCAGCTGGGGCCGGGCTGCAAGAAGAGCCTGGGCCCACCCATTATGTACATCTCCTCCTACCAACGCTGGATCTGACCGTCTCAACGGCAGCCCTGGCCATGCTGGCCCCATCCTGGGTCCTACTACTGGCACTACACTGCCCCCAGCCTCCTTGCTGCTCTCTGACACACAGTGCGCCTTCCCTGGTGTGTCCTCCCTCTCCCAGGACCCCTTGCCCTCCATGCCCTCGTGGCTGCAGGTGCAGCTCTTACAGCCCTGCAAGGCAGGGCAGACCACGGGGCGGTGCTCAAATTAAACACTTCTCTTTCCTGTGCCTCCTTCTTCCTGGGCCTTGAGGCCCCTCACTCTCTGGGCTGCTCTAGAGGGAGACAGGTGAACCAGACGGGTGGGGTGGGGAAATTCTGGCGAGTTTTACTGAAAAGTGCAAAGTCCCCAGATCTGCCTCATGTCCCAAAGGGTTCGGGTGGCTCCCTGCAGAAGTGGATGGAGTGTGAAGGGTTTAAGGATGGTGGAGGGATTGATGACATGGAGGCGGTCAGCATGATGAAGGGCCTAGAACATACTGGCCCAGGCCGAAGCTGGGGTTGCAGGAAACAGCTTCGAGGCTGGGACGAGTGTGCAGCTGGTCTGGGCTGGAAGGTGAGTGTGTTCCTTCTGTGATACTTTTGGTGGGAGTCAGGCCTCTCACTTGACCTTGGCTTGCCTTCTCGACTCAGAGGTGGAACCACACTTTCCTTGCCCCAAAGAGCGCCATACGTGAACTTTATACCCTCTAGCCCTGTCCCTGCCTGGGTACTGGGGCAGGTGCCACCTGGAATCAGATACTACCCTTTATCAGCGCCGTGCCTGCCATAAAGGGCCTGGTGGGAGGCCCCATTGTCAAAGGGGGGGGGGCGGGAGGCGCGGATGCTGGAGCCCAGCGCTACTTCCCCCAGTCTTCACCAGCTGGCCGCTCTCTGGTGACCTGGAGTGGGTCCCTGCCCCTCTGGACTCCTGCTGTTCGGCCACACAGAGGCTTCTGCCTGTGTTGCCAGAATGGCCTTGTCAAACTACATTATGGAACGCCCTATAGGCTGGACCCCTAGGGACAGAGGGCAGCCAGCTGCTCCCCATCTGGCGTGGCCAGCTACTCAGCCTCATGGGCAGGCCTTCTGCCAGTCTCTGCCTCCCACTGCCCCTAAGAGCCCCGTGTCACGTGCTTTCCTCACGACATGCCTGCCGGGCCACTCCCCTTCCTGAGTCGTGATGGAGCCTGTCCAGGTCAGGGAGCAGGGTCTGACTCTTTCTGTGTCCCCAGCCACCGCGGCTCAGGCAATCAGGAAGGCCAGTTGAGACCATGGGGGGGGCCGGACGGTCCGGGGGAGGGTGTTTGAGAGTGCCTTGTCATCCCAGCATCTGGGGGGCAGAGGCAGGCAGCTACCCCCGCCATGACTGCCTCAGTGGGCTGCAGGCTTGCCTCTCAGCCTCGTTGGGCACCATTTCTCCTCATATCTCATCCTGACTCAGGGTGGAGAAAAAGTCAGGGGAGGGAAACCTCAGCCTGGCCTGAGCACCTGTCACCGACTGCTGCCACCACCCACCACAAAATGGCTCTGGGGACAGCACCCCAAGGGGGTCATCACGGGAGGCCAAGCTTCTGTCCTTGGGGTTGGAAGGAAGGCACTCGGCTTATTACAAATTCTCTGGGGCTGTCTTTGCAGCAGCGTTCCTGCGGCTCGGGAACCCTGGTGCTCTCCTTAGCTTCAGGCCCCAGGCCCCTGTCTGAGGACGCAGTTCTGATGTTCGGTGCACCGCCGGTGCACCTCTGAGCCAGCTTGCCCCTCCACCAGGTGGTGTGTGGGCTTTGTCTTCTGGTCAGGGCGATGCTGCTTTTAGGCGCCGGCCCCTTAGTGGGGAAGTGGGTAGAACGAGCAAAGCTGCGAGGAAGCTGGTGCCATTACATTTTCAGCTGGGTGGAAGAGTTGCCCCTACGCTTGATCCCCTCGGCGGGCCGAGTGAAACCCCCCACCACACGCTGGGATAATAGGGCCACCAGAATAGTCCGACGTCTCCTTTGCTTCTCAATATTCCAGCTGATTTCCAAGAGAAGGCCCAAGCCCCCATGCTTTCTTCGCCTGTTCCTCCCCCGGCCACCCGCTACTGCCCCCAGCCTCGAAGCCCAAGCCCCTGGGGCCTCATCGTGGCCTCCCGGCAGCCTCAGCTGCTTCACAACATGTAAAAGGAGGCGGGCGTCCCGTTGCCTTGAGCTTGGGCTGTTCTGCAGGGCTGCATTTCTGCTTCAGGGCCACCTCTGCTCACTCCCTTGGCTGAATTCTACCAGGCTTGGGGCAGCTCTCCGCACCATCCAGAGCTGCCCACCTCGCCTTAAGTGGCCGAAAGGTTTTCCCTCCTGCTGCCACAGCTGTCCCCAGCAACCCTCTCTCCCTCCTCATGGCCAGTGCTCGGGCGTGTGGGCCTCAAACCCCAACCCGTGCGGTCCGCCATCCCGGCCAAGAAGGGAAAACACACATCTTTGTACTAACCCCTAGCGTCTGCTTGCCATGGCCAGGACAGGCTGGAGGAGGCAGTGTCTGTTGTTGGGCGGACAGCACTGGTGGAGGACACTCGGCCGTCTGCCAGGGCGACAGGGCCTGAGACCAGGCTTTGCTGAGGAAGGGCCCATGTGGGGGATGGAGTGAAAGGAGCGAATGCCCGGCTGGGATCTCTCTTTTTTCAGAGAGGGGATGGACCATTCCTCTCAGCTCGGTAGGGGAGAAGACAGATGCTCACAAGGGAGTTTGGTGGGTGTGGGGACAAAAGAATGCGGACGCTGATGTTCTGGGACTGGGGGAGTGGCGAGAGGGTGACGTCTGTGCTGGCTGTGAGAGCTGACAGTGGAGAAGCATGTTCCAGGCCTCGGGGCCAACACGGAGACTTCAAGGAGAATGCCAAGGATGGCAGTCAGCGAACAAGGCCCTGGCCGACTCCACAGGGCCTCTGCCCCTCTCCAGGCCTAGCATGGGATAACAGAAAGAGTCCAGGCCGGTGAGGTGGCTCACACCTGTAATCCTAGCACTCTGGGAGGCCGAGGCAGGCAGATTGCTCGAGGTCAGGAGATTGAAACCAGCCTGAGCAAGAGCGAGACCCTGTCTCTACTATAAATAGAAAGAAATTAATTGGCCAACTAATACATATAGAAAAAATTAGCTGGGCATGGTGGTGCATGCCTGTAGTCCCAGCTACTCAGGAGCAGAATTGCTTGAGGCCAGGAGTTTGAGGTTGCTGTGAGCTAGGCTGACGCCGCGGCACTCACTCTAGCCTGAGCAACAGAGTGATTCTCTCTCAAAAAAAAAAAAGAGTCCAGAGTTTGGAACCAAAGCAAACTGGGTCCATATTCCACTTCTCCTGCCTCCTAGCTGTGCAGCCCTGAGCAGGTCACTGGGCTTCTTTGAGTCTCAGTTTCCCCCTCCATAAAATGAAGGGCTGTGAGGACTGGACCACAAAGTGCAGGGCTCTGTTCTCATCTGTTCTGAGGAGCAGGCCCAGGGGGCTGGAACCAGGTGGGTGGCCTGCTGAGCTTTGCTCAGAGGGCAGGACGGCAGGGGCTGGAGGCGGGGGTGGGCTGCCCGGAGCTGACTGCAGGCTCCCTCATGGTTCCCCTAGGCATGATGTTTTCTATTCAGTGAGGGCGGGGAGTCCATGGATTGACCAGGTGACGCAGACTACCTCCGACATCCGGGTGCTCCAGGTCATTGTGAACAGAAGGTACCGGGGGCGGCGGTACTGGTCCTGGGTTGGCAAGGAGAACGACATCTGCCTCCTCAAGCTTGAGCGGGTGCTCCAGTACAACAGCTATGTCTGGCCCATCTGCCTGCCTGGCTTGGACTATGCGCTGAAGGAGAATGCCGTCTGCACTGTGACGGGCTGGGGACTTCCCAAGACTGACGGTGAGTCAGGGCCTCCCAGACCAGGGTGGGTGGTGTGAGAGAGGACCTGGGTGCAGGCCGGGGTGCCACCATGACAGGGGCTTCTCAGCGCCTTCTCCAGGGAGCCCGCTGCCTCCAGGACCTTCCTTTTGGGCTCTCATCTCTGAGGTCTGCTTTCCCTGACGGTCTCAGCAGCGGACACATCACAGCCATCCAGGCCTCTGAGGACCTGATTGCCCTGGAATCCTCAGCCAGGCCCGGGCATGGAAACAGAGCTGCCTCGGAGGCGGGGAGGGCACAGAGTAACATCTTGCAGGCCACACACAAGCCCAGGGCATCCACAACTCGAAGCAGAGTGTGCGAAGCGAGGGGAGCAGGCTTGTGTCTGGAGAACGCTCCCGGAAGGCCCTCATGGCCGGCTAGGGGCAGTCTGCACCTGGAGGTCGGAGTCACTTGGGGTCTGCTCATGGTTCCCTCCTCCCCTTAGTGGGCCTCAATCCCTCGTCGCCCCAATTTAGGAGGAAGGCTCTAAGAGCAGGCATGTTCTCTCAGGCCTATTTGGTAGTTCATTTCCTGACGGAGCCTAGGAATGCCCATTCCTGTTAGGGAGCCGCTTACCCGCAAGAGAGATGCCCTTCCCTGTGGGAGCCGTCTCACCCCAGAACAGCCCACGGGGCCTTTAGTCCATGTGGGAGGAGGTAGCAGTGACTTTGTCAGCCCTGCCATGGCCTGTCTGGGGAACGCTGGAAGCAGCCTGAAGTCTCCTATCTGCCAGGAGCTCAGGCCAGGGACACGGACACACTGGTGGGGGAGGGGAAAAGAGGAAGCAGTGCCTGGGATTTGTGGAGGGGGCTGGGAAAACTCAGTGGGGGAGGGCTTGACCAGCAGGAGGGATTTAGACCTAGAGAGGCTTGGCGGGCATTCGGGATGGAAGGAAGGGCAAAGCCAAGATGCTGAGGTAGGGGCAGAGGGGATGCTAAGAGGACTCGGCGGGGCTGGCTCTGCAGGAAGCAAGCGCAGGTCCAGCAAGGCCAGATCATGAGGGCAGCCTGCTCTAGGGTCTCTGTATCAAGGGCCCTTGAGGGCTACCAGCTAGAATGGAGGCATGTGCTGGGAGAGATCTCCATGGCCACTGTGTGGCTAGTAGAGGAGGCTGGGGGAGTGGGGGAGAGCGGAGAGAGGATGGGGATGAGGGTGGTGGCACTTGAACAGGGCCCCGTCCTACAGGTTTGTGGCCCCAGTTCCGGACCATTCAGGAGAAGGAAGTCACCATCCTGAACAACAAGGAGTGTGATGACTTTTACCACAGGTTCTCCAAAATCCCTTCCCTGATTCCCATCATCAACTCCAAGATGATTTGTGCAAAGGACATCAGCAGGGAAGAGTTCTGCTATGTAAGCACACCTCCCAGCTCACTCACCTCCGAGGGCACCTGGCCAGGGCGAGGAGGGGCGTGGAGAGGGACCTGAGGGGTGCAGGGTGGGGCGGGGAAGGGGGGAGGGCATCGTCAGAGATGGGCAAGAGGAAGGGACGAGAGAAGCAGGGGTCCGGAGCGGGAATGGAGGTTGGAGGTGTGGGGGGTGGGCAGAGATGGAGGGTGGGTGCGAAGGGGAGATGAGGCTCTTTGAGAAAGGTCTGGGTCCGTAGCGCCTCTCACGTGTGTTGGCACTGGGGTGCTGTGGAGGACCTGTGGGAGAGCTGCTTGTCCCTTTCTGGGTCACGCCTCCCTCAGGCCTCGCCTGGCCTCCCTAACCTATTTTACTCCCCCTTCCCCGCAGGAGATGTCTGGGGAGCCTTTGGTCTGCTCCACGGAGAGCACGTGGTACCTGGTAGGAATGGTCAGCTGGGGCCCGGGCTGCAAGAAGAGCCTGGCCCCGCCCATCTACGTGTACATCTCCTCCTACCAACGCTGGATCTGGGACCGTCTCAACGGGCAGCCCCTGGCCATGCTGGCCCCATCCTGGGTCCTACTATTGGCGCTACCACTGCCCCTCAGCCTCCTTGCTGCTCTCTGACACACAGTGTGCCTTCCCTGGTGTGTCCTCCCTCTCCCAGGACCCCTTGCCCTCATGCCCTCGTGCTGCAGGTGCAGCTCTTACAGCCCTGCAAGGCAGGGCAGACCAGGTGCTCAATTAAACACTTCTCTTTCCTGTGCCTCCTTCTTCCTGGGCCTTGGAGGCCCCTCACTCTGTGGGCCTGCTCTAGAGGGAGACAGGTGAACCAGACGGGGTGGGGTGGGGAATTCTGGGCAGTTTATACTGAAAAGTGCAAAGTCCCCAGGATCTGCCTCTGTCCAAAGGTTCGGGGTGGCTCCTGCAGAAGGTGGATGGAGTGTGAAGGGGTTAGATGGTGGAGGGATTGGATGACGGAGGGGTCAGATGATGAAGGGCCTAGAACATACTGCCCAGGCCGAAGCTGGGGCTGCCAGGAAACAGCTTGAGGCTGGGACGAGTGTGCAGCTGTCTGGGCTGGAAGGTGAGTGTGTTCCTTCTGTGATACTTTGGTGGGAGTCAGGCTCTCCTTGACCTTGGCTGCCTTCTGACCAGAGGCTGGAACACACCTTTTCATTGCCCCAAAGAGCCATAGTGAACTTTAACCCTCTAGCCCTGTCCCCTGCCTGGGTACTGGGGCAGGTGCCCACTGGAATCAGATACTACCCTTTATCAGCGGCCGTGCCTGCCCATAAAGGGCTGGTGGAGGCCCCATGTCAGAGGGAGGGCGGATGGAGCCCAGGCCTGGACTTCCCCCAGTCTTCACCAGCTGCCGCTCTCTGTGACCTGGAGTGGTCCCTGCCCCTCTGGACTCCTGCTGTCTGGCCACGCAGAGGCTTCTGGCCTGTGTGCCAGAATGGCCTTTGTCAAACCTACATATGGGAAGCCTATATGCTGGACCCCTAGGACAGGGCAGCCGGCTGCTCCCATCTGGTGGCAGAGTACTCAGCCTCCATGGCAGGGCCTTCTGCAGTCTCTGCCTCCCACTGCCCCTAAGACCCCGTGTCACGTGCTTTCCTCATGACAGCCTGGGCCACTCCCCTTCCTGAGTCGTGATGAGCCTGTCCAGGTCAGGAGCAGGGTTGACTCTTCTGTGTCCCCAGCACCGGGCTCAGGCAATCAAAGGCCAGTTGAGAGCCATGGGGCCGAGTGGGGGAGTGTTGAGAGTGGCCTTGTCATCCCAGCATCTGGAGAGCAGGCAGCTTACCCCCCGCCATGACTGCCTCAGTGCCTGCAGCTGCCCCTCAGCCTCTTGGCCACCATTTCTCCTCTATCTCATCCTGACTCAGGTGGAGAAAAGTCAGGGAGGGAACCTCAGCCTGGCCTGAGCCACCTGTCACCGACTGCTGCACCACCCACCACATAAATGCTCTAGGGACAGAGCACCCCAAGGGGTCATCACGGAGGCAGCTTTCTGTGCTTGGGTCTGAGAAGGCACTCGGCTTTATTTACAAATCTCTGCGGGCTGTCTTTGCAGCAGGCTTCCTGGCTCGGGAACCTCTGGTGTCTCCTTAGTCTTCAGGCCCCTGTCTGAGGACGGCAGTCTGATGTTCGGTGCCACCCGGGTGCACCTCTGAGCAGCTTGCCCCCTCCATCAGGTGGTGTGTGGGCCTTTGTCTTCTGGTCAGGGATGCTGCTTTTAGGCGCCCCTAGTGGGAAGTGGTAGAAGAGCAAGCTGCGAGGAAGCTGGGTGCCATTACATTCAGCTGGTGGAAGGCAGTTTGTGCCCCTACGCTGATCCCCTGGGGCCATGAAACCCCCCACCACAGCTGGCATAAATAGGGCCACCAGAATAGTCCGAGGTCTCCCTTTGGCTTCTCAAATATTCCCTGATTTCCAAGAGAAGGCCCAAGCCCCAGCTTTCTTCCCTGTTCCCTCTGGCCCACCCCTACTGCCCCCAGCCTTGAGCCCAAGCCCCTGGGCCTCATGTGGGCCTCCCGGCAGCCTCAGCTGCTTCACAACATGTAAAAGAAGGGGTCCCATTGCCTTGAGCTTGGTGTCTGCAGGGCTGCATTTCTGCTTCCAGGGCCACCTCTGCTCACTCCCTTGGGCTGGAACTTCTACCAGGCTTGGGGCAGTCTCCGCACCATCAGAGCTGCCACCTGCCTTAGCTGGAGTCCCTCCTGCTGCCACAGCTTCCCCCAGCAACCCTCTCTCCCTCCTCATGGCCAGTCTGGGTGTGGCCTCACACCCCAACCCGTGCGGTTCCGCCATCCCGGCCAGAAGGGAAACACACATCTTGTTACTACCCCTAGCGTCTGCTGCCATGGCAGGACAGGTGGGAGGGAGGCATGTCTGTGTGGGGACAGCACTGTGAGGCCACTCGGCGTCTGCAGAGGGACAGGGGCCTGAGACCAGCTTTGCTGAGGAAAGGGCCCATGTGGATGGAGTGAAAGGAGCGGAATCCCGGCTGGGAGGCCAAACACCCAGTGTGGTCTTGTCCTGCACCTGAGGGGCCAGGAGGACGTGGCCATGGGCCTCCCCCTGCCCCTCTGCCCACAGCCTATGTGGTCTGCATATGAGCTCAGAGTCTAGGATGCCTGGACCCTGGCCCAATCTCGAGCTCCAGGGCCCACCAGCCCCTGTGGCCACCTCCAGGATGCTCTTCTCATTTCTCTCCTTTCTTCTTCTTGGCCTCATTCTTCTCATCTTCCTCTACCTTGATGGCCACTGTGTCCACGCTGTCCTTCTTCTTCTTTTTAGTCTCTGTGGGGTAGGGGAAAGAGGCATGCGGTAGTGGTGAGGCATGTCCTGGGGCTCAGCGGGCTCCAGGGAGAGGGCCCAGAACCTTCCACATCCTGCCCTTTACTTCCTTCTTCCTTCCAGACCTCTCCTGCCAGAGAACAGGCTCATTGTTCTGCTTGCATCACTCTCACCGGTTTCTGTGCTCTGGTCTCCTGGGTCAGGGCTGGGCTCGGCTCCTGAACCCGCTGCCACTCCATCATAGTGGAGGGGAGGAAGGGCGAAGGGGAGGAGCAGGGAGACTTTGGGCAGCAGGACTGAAGACCTGGCTGGCTCAGCAGGCTCGGGCAGTGGCTGGTGCCGGGGCTAGGGCCTACCCACCTCCGGGGATTTCTGTGAGCTCGTTGAGGGGTGGCACGGTCTCCAGCTTGTCTGTGTACATCTTGGCTGCCTTTCGCTGCAGGTACCGGGCTTCGATCTCCTTCCGGGTCCGTGGCACGCGGCAGTTGAAAACACAGCACAGGGTGATGACTGTAGGGAAGACAGGTTTGGCCGGGGCTCGGCCTCAGACACCCCAGGAATGGCAACCAAGCCTGCCTCCATCCACCTGTAAGCATCTCACCCAAGAGACTAGCAGGAGACCCAGGGTCTTGACAAAATGCCTGGGGACCGTAGGGCTGCTGCAGCAGCTTTCCTGAGCAGGCCTGATTTCATGCAGTTGTACAAGGCCCTATGCTTAAAGGGTCCCATGTTTGGTTTAATGCTCTGCTGTCCAGTTCTTAAAAGTTCCTAATAACTTTTGAACAAGGAGCCTTGTACTTTGATTTTGCATGGGCTCTATAAATTATGTAGCCAGTCCTCGTCCTGAGCGTCTTTCGGCCTAGCTTCAGAGCAAGCTAAGTAGGGTAAGGCAAAGGGCTGCATTGTCATTCAAGCTCCCTAAAGGCCTTCCTGCCATCCAACCTAGGCCTCTGGGTTGCTTCTAGTGTCACCTAGCTTTTCCTCCCAGGCTCCTGAGAGCAGGGCCAGAGCTGCCTCAGACTTCAAAGGACATAGCTGTGTTCTCCCCAACCTCCCCAGGACAAGCCTGGACTCCTCTGGGCTGGGGCGGGAGCTGGTGAGAGGGCACAGACCCGTGGCATGTTCACCTCAGAGTTATTCCAGGAGTGGTTTTCCGGCCGAGGGCAGCTGCCCCCGCACCAGTTGGGCCGGGCATGGAGCTGGCCTGTCAGTGATGGGCAGGGCAGCTCAGGGCTTCCAGGACTGGGCTGGACTGAGTTTATTTTTCTAAGGCCCCCACAGTCTGACTACCTTGGCCCTAGCGCCAGGGGAGGGGATGGAGCTGGTTCCTATTATACATCAGATGACCAGACATAACTTCCTGGCAGACTCCTGGGGTCAGGCGGGCCCAGGCAGGACAAGCCAGGCCTATTTTGGGGAAGATGGGTCAGATCTATGTAGCCTGGGCTGGAGCACCCTCTGGGGCCATTTTGTGCAACCAAAGTAGTGTCCCTTTAGCCAAATATAGTGGTCCCGCTGAGTCTCACCTGGACTCACCAAAGGAATGAAAAATGCCTGGGTGAATGTGGTGGTCTCAAAGCCCTTGCTGCTGGAACAGGACTGGACTCTGCATGAATGGATTGGGGAGCCGACAGCATCCCAGCATGCACTGGGGTGGGGGGCGCTGCACGAGGGCCCCTGCAGTAGGCCCGACTGTACACCTCTCTCCTGGGGTAGACCTGAGCAGACAGCAGGCTTTCTTATCCAGAGAGCTGGGTCCTGGGCTTCTCCAGATCCCTGTGCGCACACCTGAGACCCGACATTGGTCCTCCACCCTGACCCTCCGGCTTGGGCCACCTCTTCTAGCCACCTCGCCAGGCGCCTCCTTGGGACCGTGCCCCACAGGCTCCGTGCAGGCGGGTCCCAGGCCCTGGGGAGCTGACGCTTCACAGGGAGCTCATCGGGCAGCTGTTGGCAGCCTGAGCAGGGCACAAGCACTGCCCCTCACTCCAGGCCTGCCCCACCCAGCCTGGCCCGGTTGCTTTTCTTCAAAGAAGGGGAGAAACAAAGTGCTTTGGATGGAGTCTCAGGGCCCAGGGATAAGCTTGGGACACAAGTCCCCAAGAACCCCAGAGGTACCCCATCCCGCCCCAGCCCCTTCCCTGAGGCTCCGAGGGCTGATGCTCCGCTAACGGCTGCACTCCCGAGGCCCAGGCAGACCGGGAAGCAGGGAAGATGTTTTCTCCCTGGGAGATAGGGTTGCATTATCCCCACTGCCTGGTGCTGTGCCGTGGAAGGTGACAAGTGCTGACCTGCTGCTCAGGGGCCCGTGGGACTGTCCCGTACCCTTTCTAGGAAATGGGGTTAGAGGACGGTCTGTCTGGTTGATGTCCAAGTGCCTCTGGGTTTGACACTGTGCAACTTTCTTGTGTGACCCCAGGCACCTCCACCAGCTAGGGCCGAGCAGAGCATGAGAGAGGCTGCAGTGTGTCTCGAGGCCCCACAAGACACAAGTCACCGCTAAGATGCCTGACTGGTTCTTGGCCTCAGCTGGGAACAAAAGACAGCCTCTTGCTCAGATGGGGGCAGGGGGTGCAGGGCGGCGGATATTTTCTCCTGGGAGGGCACTTCTGGTGCCAGGAGAAGCACATGCAAATCAGATGTCATGTCTTCCTTCAAGCCCCTCACTCTGGACGAGCCTCTGTGGGCCACCCAGCCCTCCAGGGTGGTCTCCCCGCCCAGGGTGCACTCAGTAAATGCCCAGCAGGGCTCGTGTCCAGCAGACCTTGTGTGGAGGCCGTGCTTCCTCCCAGCCTCTGCTCACCCTCCCCCTGCCCGAATGCCTTTCCAGCCTTCCCGCCTGGCAAAACCCCACCGGTCTTCCCACCAGTCTGCAGCTCAGAGGACCCTCTTCCATGACGCCTTTGCAGGGGAGTGGGCTGCTTCTCCCTGTTCTGCCTGCACCCCCATTCCCGCATGTGCCTGCAGGACCCTCTGTCACACTCTGCCTTGGGCCATCGCAGCCTTCCCCACCTGGCTGCATTTCACGTGCCTTTCTGCCCCTTCCCCAACTCCAGACCCCACTCCAGGAGGAGGGCTAAGGGGAGTGGGCCAAGCCTGTTTCTGCTGTGACTTTGCATCAAGAAGCTCCCAGACCCCAGGAGAAGAGTGGATCTCCTGCTTTTAATTGAGGCAAGTGTGAGTCATTCTGGGAAAACGGTATCTTACAAGGCAGGGATTGAAGCCTGGGATGGAAGCCTGGGAGCCACATCTGCTGGGCGTCTGGAGAGCCTCTCATGGAGGGTGGCCTTGCTGGGGCCCATGGGTGTGGGGACTTTCAGCTGACCAAACTGCAAGGAAAAGCATCAGGAAGCCAGCCATGGGAAAAGTGACACGTCTCTGTCCTTGTCCTGTTTCAGTGGCGCTCCCTGTAATTACCATAATTGCCATGTGGCTGCCTCTCCAAGGCCAACAGAATACTTCGGGTCACCACTGGCCTGTCAGCCCTCCTTGGGGACTTTGTGTGGATCAGGAGGTGCCAGAAACCATGGCAGGCCTGCTGTGGGCGCCTGGCCTGCTAGCACTGCCCAGAATTGCTGCTCTGAGCCTGCAGGGAGGTGCTGGGTGGTTAGGGGGTGCTGGGGTGCTGTGCTCCCACCGCGGGGTGGCAGAGGGAGCAGGGAGCAGCTACTCACTGATGGACAACACGAAGAGCGAAAAGATGCCCACCACGTGCCACAGGCGCATGTCCCAGAACACCACGGTCTCCTTGGTCAGCGGGGGCGGCTTGGGCTTGGGCGGGGCCGTGCTGGGCTGTGGGTCAGGAGAGAGGGAGTGAGCCCGGCAGACGCCAGCAGGCGGGACCGAGAGAGGCCCAACCCAACACTTCAGAGTCTCCCAAAATCTGTCTGAGACATTCACTGCCAGCACCTAGACCTTGGGAAGTTCCAGATTTAGAGCAGAACCACGGAGCCAGGGGAGGGTGGTTGATGCTTGGGGAAACCAAGGCCAGGAGAAGCAAACGTAGACAGCTGTCCCAACCAGGTTCAAGGTCCCCTTGGACACTTCCCACTCCAGTCCTGGGCCCCACTCAGGCTGATCGGGTCTCAGGACCAAGGCCAGAGACAAAGTGAGGTCTGTGCTGTGCTGCTGCTTCGCTCTGTGGTCTCCCCAGTGGCGGTGGGGGGTGGAGCTGGGAGTCAGGGCCCCACAGCTCTGCCGCCTGGCTTGACCCCCTATTGGGAGGCCAGGCCCAAGTGCTCACAGGACAGGGCTGGATAAATAAACCTTCTGCGATGCAGTGGCGACACCTGGAGGCCAAAAGGCATAAGTGGTTGCAGCAAGCCTGGGCAGACCACAGCCAACCACTTCCCACTTTCCCCGCCAGACATTACCATGGCCTGGGGGACTGAGGGAACACGACCCTGCCCCAGCGTCCAGAGGACATGGCTTTGCCTCTAGACCTCAGGGTTTAGGGCACACGGTGCTGCCCTAAGTCGGAGAAGACATGGCTTTGTTCTGGGTGGCCAGAGAACATAGCCTTACCCCGAGTGTCTAGGGGACATAGCACTGTCCCAGGTCTGAGGATATGGCCCTGTCCTGGATATCTAGGGGATAGGGCCCTGCTCCATGGAATCTGAGCAAGACCTGTCTGTGACCAGAGAGGGACATGATCCTAACTCTGTCCCTAAGTTTGGCTGAGAGGTGAGGACAGGGGTCAGTGCCCAGAGGGAGAGAAGACTCTGGAGCATCTGTACAAGATGTTGTCCCCTAATTAACCTAATAAGGACAGGCATGAGGAGTCCCTTCTAGCTCCCTGGGAAGGAGAGGGCACCTATAGCTCCACTGTCCACCCATTTTCCTGCCCAGTCCGTACACATGGACTGGGCACCTGTCACGAACCAGGTGCTTCTTCATTTAATGAGCACCGCCTTTGGCATGGGTTGGAGACACTCGGAGGGTCAGCCACCTGTCCCCGGGTAAACAAAGGATCTGGCATTGGTAGATGATTCCTCAGCTCTTTTCTGCTCACCAGGGTGAACTAGGGTGGGATCCTTCTGCCCTTTGGACCTCAGTTTCTCTGCCTGTAATGGGAGTGGGGTAGGTCCAGGAGCTGCTCAGGAGCTCTTTCTACCCAACCCGATGGGAAGATTGACAAGAAGACACGGTCCTCAGCTTTATCCCCTGGATGTATGTGTGGGGTCAGACACATGTACGAGGGGTTGGAGAAAACGTGTGGGGTCGGGCACAGTGTGGTTGGAGCACATGTGCATGTGCTCAGGCACATGTCCATGGCATGAGGGTCATGGCAGTGGCAGAATTCCCGAAGTCTAAGGGAATCTCTGAGGTCGGGTGTGTTGGCCAGCCAGGTTGTATGACCTGAAGACTGAGGGCTGCAGTAAAGTTCTCAGATTCCCAGCCAAGGCAGCTGGTGCTCACTTCCTTATGCATTCTGGCTCCAGGCTTGATGTGGGTGGGACGGGGCCCACTCTCTTTCCTGACAGGGGTGTTGGGTGGACGGTGGCAGGCAGTAGCCATCTCCTCGTGGTGAGCCCTACTGGGGCCTGAATTCTGAAGCTTGGAGGCCCCCACCTCCTTCAGAGGGTAACTGTGACACCTGCAGGGCCGGGGTGGGTGGTGACCTGGACCCCAGTCCTGCCCATGTCTCCAAGGCTTCCTGAAGGACTAGGGCCTTACTCAGGCTGTAGGCAGATGGCAGGCAGACAGACTCCAAATGCAGTGAGCTGGGAGAATGGGGTCCTGGGGGTGGGGGCGGAGAGTCCTTGGCTCAGAACTGACTTGATCCCCACCCCCAGCCTTCTAACTGCACCCAGGCCTCGGGCAGCCAGTGAGGGGTACAAGTACACCCCATGGGGCTCAAGCCAGCCTGGCTCCCCTTACAGGGACACTGGAGCTGACACCTAACTCCAGCCCAGCCTCCTGGTCACACCCCCTGGTCAGCAGCATGAGGCTACACTGGGGTGTAGGATTCTGTCCCTATGTCCCTCTCAGACCCCCAGTTTAGGGCTGTGTCCCTCTATATCCTCCCTGGCTCTGTCCTTTCTATCCCACCTTGTCCCCTAGCACCTACCCCTCCAGTCTCCCTGAGTGCCTCTGGCTGTCTCCTGCATTTCTGTTTCCTGCTCCTTCCACTCTGCCCCCGCCCCACAGGCTCCATCCCCCGCTTCACCCTGGCCCTGGCCCTGCCCTGGCCTTTTCCTTCTGCTTCCATAATTCCACATCTGGTCTGCCCTCTCTCTCTGTGGCTCCCCTTCTAGGCTCAGCAGGAGTGGGGTACAAGGGGCAGGGAGGCTGCATATGGTCCCCACCTCTCCCCTCTCAGCCCTTCCTTACCCCAGCCAGGCCCTGTCCCCCCACCCCAGCCATCCTCCTCACCTCTTTCTGGGCTATCTCAGAAGCTCCTTCTTCTAAACCACAACTCATCACGACTCACCTCTGCTCAGAAACCTTCTATAGCTCCCTGTTACCACCAGGATCAAGTCAGACCCCCCCAGTACCTGGGTCCTGCCCTGCCCGCCCTTCCCTTCCGGGAGCCATGCTCCCCACGGCTGCTCCATAAAGGGTCCCACTGCTCCACCCTCCGACCTGGAATGCCCTCACCTTCCCAGGCCGTGTCTGCCCCATTCCACAGGGAGCCCTGGAGGGAGCAGAGGCTGTTTCCTCCAGAAGACCCTAAGTGCAGGGTCTAGATCTCTCCCATCAAACTAGAGGTCAAGGGCACCAAGGGCTGTGCACCCTCTTGGGTCTTCAATGGGACCGAAGACTGGAGGATGGGGACTGAATGTCCCCATCAGTCCGGGCAGGACTGTGCCCCCAATCAGATTGGGAATCCCTAAGATCAGGGTGCCTTTCTCCCATCAGACTAATGTTCCAGAAGTCAGGGGCTGTGCTCTCCCCTCGGACCAGGGACCCTAAGAGTGGGGGCTGAGTTTCCCCACAGCCTGGCAGCGCTTGGGGCCAGGCTGTGTCACCCCACTAGACTGGGCGTCCTCGGCCAGAGGAAGCGATAATGCCAGCTCCCCATCAGAAAGGTGCGTCCCCAACCCTCTGTCTGGACAGAAAGAGACAGCCACCCCCACCTTCTCCCCGCGCCTCACCTCCACCAGCTGCCCGGCGACCCCCGCGAGGCAGACCCCCAGCGCGGCGCCGCCCAGCGCCCAGAGGGGGCCCGCGCCTGGCCGCTGCCCTGCCATCTTCTTCCCGCCGCGCCTGCCCGCGGGAGCCGAGTGATGGGCGGGCGGGCCGCCTGGTGCAGCCCCTGGCCAGCCCGCGCTCGGTGGCGGTGGCGGTGGCGAGCTCAGTGGCTAGCTCTGGCCGCCAGCAGCGAAAGGGGGCATCATTTATTCATCGTCGGTGTCAGGTTCCTGTGCCGCCCGCCCCCATCTCTGTGGGTGGAGGGCCCGCCCCCTCCTGGGAGAGCAGACTCCAGCCTCCCCATCCCCCATCCCGGGGACATTGAGGTGGGGGAGGGTGGGAAGGAAGACAGGTTGGGGTTGGGTCCTTAATCAGCAGGTCCCCCTCCCTTCCCCACTCCAGCCTCAGTTTCTCTAACTGGGACAAGGGGAGGGGCTGGAATCTGCTGATCTAGAAGGCCCTTCCCACTGTGACGTGCTGAATTTGAGAAATGGACTGGACTTGGGTATGGGGGGGCATAGTGGGCAGGTTGCCATGGTGACAGGCGCTCAGGGATGTCCTGGGCTTTCTGGCCTGGCTTCCTGCCCAGAGGCGGCTCTGGTCACCCTGGACACCAGAGCTGGAGAGGGGGATGGGGAGCAGGGGATGGTATGGCCAGAGCTACAAACTGCCAATGCTACAGAAGGTTCCTGAAGGAACTAACATCTTCTGCCCCACAAGAAAAGATGGGCTGTCCCTGGAAGGGCTGGAGGACAATTTTCTGACCCTGGCTACCTCAACCTCTGCCCTAGCCTGAGCCCTGCTGACTCTGGCTCCAGTCTAAGCCAAGACCCCAATCTCACACTGAGGTTGGCCCACACTGCACTCTGGTCCTGCCCCCAAGGTGAGCCTTGACACCCCAGTGATGGAGAGAAGTCCCGGGGAGCTGTGGAGACTTGAGGAAGGAGCTGAACACTTGGGAACAGGAGTACAAGGCCTGGAGGCGAGGACTCTCCTCTGGTCCAGCCACCCTCCTCCCTCCTTTCCTTCCTTGCTCTATTGCCTATCTGCGGCCTGCTGACTGCTAGGAGCAGCAGCCCAAGTGCTGGTCCCCTGCCCTCTCGTTACCAAGAGCACCCGTGGAGACCTGCCTGGGCTAGAGGTGGCCTGGTTCCCCTTGGCAAGGCCTGCTTTCAGATCCGGTAACCCAGTGGGTCAAGAGCCTTGTCGGGCTCCAGCCTGGGGGTGCCACAGATGGACAAGGACCAAGGCAGGCTGCAGTGGGAGCAGTGGGCCATCTGCAGACACCTGCAAGCATCAGGGCCTGGAGATGACAGGGCAGGCAGGAAAATGGAAGAGCACCTGGCAAAGGATGTCTGGCCTAGGGGACCCATTGAAGAGACCCTTGATGATGGGTGGCAACGTCTGGGGACTCAGTGGGTGGGCCACCCTGTCCTCCCCAGGCATGCCCTGGCCAGGCAAACAGAAACGCCATTAAAGTCCGAATCACTTGCTGCAGCTCTCCAACCCCCACTTCCTCATGCCATCGGTCATAGGCCAGGCAAGGCAAAGCCACCCTGACCAGCCAGGGAGGTCACCCTCAGGACACGGGGTCAGAGAGGCTGGACAGGGAGGAGATTAGTGAGCCTGCCACGAGTGCTGGACAAACCATTACCCCTCTCTTAGTTCCTTCATCTACAGAATGGGGCAGGTAGGACTCCCAGCAGACTGATGTGAGGGTGACATGAATGGGGGCACTGGCTCGCCAGAGTGAGACAAGCAGCCCTCTGCTGCTCACAGGGCTCCCACCTGCGGCTCAGCCCGGGAGAAGGGGGTCGTTATTTTCTGCAAAGTTCATCGTCTTTTCCATCCATCAAGAGGTAGGGCAAGCCTATTGAGGAATTTTGAAGGGAATTGCGTTCGGGTTTTTTTCCCTTTTCCCTGAGATGGTCACTGCTCTATGTGGCTCTGCTTTGCAGACTCTTCAGCACAGCTGAGATCTCACCATACACGGTTCCCGAGCATACCTCTGTATCCAGAGCTTTTCACCCAAAACAAGCACCAGCGATCCCCCCTCCCAGCTCCCCTGTCAAATGTTACCACACAGGCTTTGAAGTCCAACTGACTCAGACTTAAAATAACAGGGTGTTCTGAAAGTCTTAGTGCAGTTTTAAGCCTTAACAGCCTCAGAAGTATAAAGCTACAAATTTATAGGAAACACCACTTGAAAGTTCATTTAGATTTCCTTTTTTGCCATCTGAAGAGGGCAAACGTTGACTGAAAAGAATTTAAAAGTCATCCAAAACTCACAAAAGTAAATTAGCATCAAGAAAATTTGCATAATTAAACTTCAAATTATGTTTCTTATAAATGTGTAGCTTTATACTTCGTAACCTGTGAAGTCACTGAAGCTTAAAACTGCACTAATACTTCTGGGACATGATCGTGAAGCCTCAGGCAGGCTACTCAACCTCTCTGAGCTTCGATCCCTCCCTCTCAAATAGATACAGTACAGTGTCATGCCCCTGCACATTACAAGCCTTTATTAAGTGCTAGTCCCGATGATTATTGTTGTCATTGTTTTTAAAGGCTGCATGATATTACACTGTATAAGAACCTAACAGTACCATGTTCAATCAGTGCCCTGTTGTTGAACATTTGGGGTGTTCCCACTTCACCAATAATAAACAGCATGTTGAGACGAACATCCTGAAAGCTAAAGTCTTTTCCATCTTTGAGAGTTTTTCGGCATTTGGTGTGACTCTGCCTCTCCCCTGTTTACTCATGAGGAATTGAAGCCCAGAGAGGGGTTATGCACTGCCTAAGGTCACACAGGAACTGGGTCTTTCAACTCAGCCTTCTGCCTGCAATCCAGGGCACTGCCCACTGTCCAATACTGTTTCTGCACTTAGGAGGCCTCCCCACGCCCCGGCACCTCACCTGCAGTTGGCCATGTCACTCCTCCCAGAGTCTCACATAGTCCCGTGAAGGAGGTACAGGTCGGTAGTGGGGTACCTCAGGACCCACCAGCTTCCTAGCCTGGTTCCCTGAAAGATAGCGTCCCTTCCATGCATGGTGGCATGAATGCTGGCCTGCAGAACCCTGCTTGTCCCTTCTGTACTATTTTTAGCTCCTGTGGGTTTCCTGTAGGGACTAGGGCCAGCCCAGCCTCCGAGGGCCCTGGATTGGAAGCTATGGACAAGGCAGTGGGCAGTGGCCAGGGGACCCCATGGACAACTCCCTCCTAGAGCCGGAAACCCTGAGGCTCAAGGTTTAGCTCTGGGAAAGCTGGGGGTAAGGAGTGGGGATCTGCCAGTCACAAAGCTAGGCTGGGATCCAGGGCATTAGGGACTCAGCCTGAGGTGGGGGTGGGAGCCGGACAGGCTGGGGCCTGCTGGGAACTGGCTGTCCCTGACCTTGTTGGCCCCAGGCCCTGACCAAAATAGCTCTGTGCATGAGCATGTGCTTGTGTGCTAGGCAGTGGCGTGAATGGAGTGCACGCGCATTGTGCACGTGGCTTTGTGTGTGTCTGGGTGCGAGTCTCAGTGTCTCTAGAGGCACAAGCACCGTCAGCATGTTTTCTGGAGCAGTATGTAAGTCTGTGTCCCTACATGATCTGTACATGTGTGTCCATGAACGGGCCACCAATAGAGTTGTGCAACATGGAAGCCCTGCCAAAGAGTCCCGTGGTAGCTGGGTCCATGTGGCACAGGTGTGTGCGCACACCACCACATTCCCTGACTGTGGGATTGTGCGTGTGGAGGGGGTGTGGGAGTGGTACAGGCAGGTGTGTACACATCTGTGGTGGGACTGGGCAGGGCTCTCGGCTGTGTTTCAGGGGACTGAGGGCAGGTGCAGAACCCTTACTTTGCCCCAAGCCACAGACCAGTTGAAAAAGAGGCTGAGCAAGTCTTGCCCCACTTGGCAGATAGTGAAACTGGGCTCGAGATCCTGTGAGGTCTCCCAGTGAGTGGGGCAAGTCTGGTCCCCCGCCCAGGGCTCAGTCAGCCTTCCAGTTTCCCTAGATGTGGCTGAACAGGAAGTCTGGGCTCTGGGGAGGAAGCCTGGGCTCTGGGGAGGAAGCAGAGGGAGCCCTTCCCTTCCTGCTAGAGCCAGGCAGCATGGCCTCCCCTCAGTACATGTGCAGATGCTGAGACTGAGCCACAGGGAGGAGAGGGGCTGGCCCAGAGACTCTTAGCACAAGTTCACATGTGTCCTGCTCAGGGGCCTGTCCTGCCTGGCCGTGTTTGTCACAGTGGTGAGGCCATGCACGCTTCCTGAGGCCATGGCCACTCTCCAGCCCTTGCCCTCCCTCCCAAGCCCCAGGGCCCCTGCCTGCCCACACCCATGTGGGGGACCCACAGATCCACTAAAACCATGCTCATTCTGGAAGGAGCCCCTCAAACCCACCATGCCCCTCCTCCCAGAGTCTGACATAGCCCGGTGAAGGAGGTGTAGGAAAGACCATTCTACCAGCAGGAGCACTAAGGCACAGAGAGGACACACATTGCCCACGCTCACAAGGCAAGAGGAAGGCAGCACAAGGCCCACACCTCTTTCCAGAATGTTCTGCTATCTCCCACTGCCCTATAGGCACACAGGATCCCCATGGGGAAGACCTTAGGGCCTGTTTAAAACTTGAAGCCTCAGTTCGATTGCACCTGCTGGGTCAGTGGCTCTGGTTGGCTGTGCTGTAGACTCATGGAGACCAAGTGTCCCAGCAGAGAGGCCATTAGGGCTGTGAAGGGGGCTGGGGGGTCGTTGTCCAGAGCCTGGGGGTGGAGGGTGTGGGGAGGCTCTCCCAGAGGGCCAGAGGGAGACCTCGGGAGAGACCTCGCAATGGGGCTGACACCATGTCCTGCCTCCTTTGAGGCAGGCCCCTCACTCTCTGCCCCCCCCCCAATACCTCTGGCAGGCAGGGGCCAGAGGAGCAGGGCCTTTAGGGGACGGGAGCCCTCAGTGGAGGAAACAGGGAGGCCAGAGCTAGGGCAGGGGCCTTGGCAGTGTGGGGAGGGACAGAGAGAAGGGGAGGAGGAGGGTTCTTCAGGATGAGGACCTGGGAGGAGAGCAATGTGGGGCAAGAGGGTGAGGTCATCTGGGGCCTGGGGTCACCCCGGGGAGGGATGCAGGGCTGGAAATCTTCCAAGCCTGGGGGTAAGAGGCAGCAGGCAGACCTCAAGCTCCTACCTGGCAACAGACAACCCAGGTTGCAGGGGGTTGAGGTTGGCAGGTCCCAGGCCCCCATGACCTCAGCTGGGGCTCTCTCTCCAGCCTGGCAGGACAGGGGATGCCTCCCACTGCCTCAGACCTGAGTGCAGGCTGCTGGGCCACCCTCTCTGCTCTTCCACAGCCTCTGGACCACAGGTCTCTTTCCTCAGTGTTCTCAGCTGGGAAAGGGGCAGAAGGGCTCAGTGAGGCTGGTCGGCTCATGGGTGGCGGCCCAGGCTGCAGGCTGCATACAGCCGGCTTCTTTGTTACAGCTTGAACTATGGTCCCTCCCCCTCCCGGGAGGTCAGCCCGGGACTAAACTTCGGCCCCCCTGCCAAGGTCACAGGCCTTGGCACAGAAGGGCCGGCTGCACGCTCCACGGGCCATGTGGAGATCCAGGAATGGGGGCAGGGGGACTTCCTCAAGGTCAGCCGACAGAGCAGCGGCGGACCTGTGGACGCCCAGCCCAGGGGCTGCAGGGCCGCCTCCGTTTACCCCTCTGTTTGACGAACCCACACAGCGCTCCGCTTGGGCCGGCCTCTGTGACCCAGAGCGGACCGGGCAAGTCACCGGGCTGCACCCCAGGCCCGCAGAGCGTCAGTACCGGCGGGCATCCTCTGCCCCGCCACCCCCGGAGCCTGCCCGGGAAGCGAGCAGGGTGTGGGCGTGGGAGTGTGGGTGGGGCGGAGGGGCCGAGCCCCACCGTCCCATTTCCGTCCCGCGCTGGGCCCCAGGAGCCCCCGAGCCCAGAGGACGCCCGAGGGAGAACCCGGGAGAGACCTGGGCAACTGGGCACCCGGACGCCGCACGCTGCCGCTCCCGCGGCGGGCCCCTGGCCCCCCAGCCCTGAGCGACACCCCGAGGCGGGGCCGGGACCGGGGGCGGGGCGCGGCGGGCGCAGGGGCCGGCGGGGCGGGGCGGCGGCCAGGGGAGCCGCGCGGGCACTCTGGGCGCTGGGAAGCGGCACCGCGCAGGTAAGGGCGCGACGGAGGTCGCACGTCTGGGGGCGGGCCCCGCGCCGCTCGCCGGGTCAGGCTGTGGGCTCTGGCGCCGCCTCGCCGTCCCTCCACCACTCCTCCGTGCCTGGCGGCGCTCTCACCCCGGCCGTCTGAGTTTGTCGGAAGACCCCCTCGGTCCCTGCGGGGTTCCCTGCGTCGTCCTCCCTGCCCGTGTCACCCCGCTCGGGGTTGGGGCAGCGCAGGGACAGCACCCCGGGCACGAGCCCGCGGTGCTCAGGGGCCCGGCCTGGGCCGAGGTGCCAGGGCCGCGGGGCCCCACCCAGGACGAGAGACTGCCAGGAGGAGGCGACGCCAGCTGGTTGGGGCGGAAGCTGGGAAGCTGGCGTTGCCCGCGTGGGAACGGCGCAGGCAAATGCCTCGCGGCTGCACCAGGATCGAGAGTTTGGGAAACTCCAGTGACTGAATGTGCCCGTGCAGGGAGAGGAGCGGCAGCTGGGACGTATGCGGCTGGAGAGGGTGGGGGCGCCTCGGGCAAGGCGTTGGAGCCATGGAGGGGCAGAGGAAGGGTGCTGGCAGAGGAGGAAACTGAGGCAGGTGCGAGAGTTAAGCTCCTCCTCCCTTGGGCAGTCCCTCTCCCCACCGTCCACCACTGCACGCGTCAGTTGATTAAGGGGCCTCCAGGGCAGCCCAGGGAAAAGCCTCCGCAGCCAGCAGAACTTCCTTGCCTGTCCAGACCAGGAAATGCCAGCGTGAGTACCATCATAGGGTGCGGCCCAGGGGCCTAAGGGGCCAGGCCTGGGAGAGGGCAGGGGAGGCCCCAGTGACCCTCCCTGGGAGGGACTTAGTGTGGACAGAGGCTAGGAATGCAGGGGAGAGAGTGGGTCTGGCTACTGGTCAGATCACCACAGGGACAGTAGCTGACTCACCTGGGCACGCTGGGACTGGCCAGTTCTGTCCTCATCCTGCCCTACGCCATGTGAGGATCAGGGCTGCCTGGGGACAGCTATGGGGCTGGGCCCTGCCAGGAACTCGCTGTGTGCCTCAGGTGAGTCACCCAGCCTCTCTGAGCCACCTAGCTCGGGTGAACCTGGCTGGGAGCCAGAGGCCTGGGTCTGAGCCTTGCACATGCTCTACACATCATGTTTCTGGGCCCTCCCATCCTTCCCTGTCCTCAGTTTCCCCACTAAGGAGCCTTTGAACTGGAGGGAGGGAGAGGGTGAGGAAGCCATGCCCCTGACCTAAGGGGAGTGGGATGGGGGTGAGACTGGGGTTGGGGAGCGGAGTATTCCTGTAAGGTTCAGCATGTCCTCCTCCTTCCCTGCAAACGTGTACACTCGTGCACTTTCATGCCTGGCCTCACCCCTGCATTTACACTCTCCTTGTCACTTCCAGCATGAAGCCCAGAACTCCCCAGCCTGGGAGCAGGCCCCTAGGGCCACCAAACCAGACTACCTGCCTGCCCTAGCTGCAGCCTTCCCGTCACCCACAGCCTCACCAGCCATGCTTAACGTCTACCCTTTCCTCTGGGCAAAGTGACTCAGTTTACCAGGCTTAGAGATCCCTTTGGGAACACAGATGTGGAAAGGCCCCCAGAGTCAGTGTTTGCAACTAACTCCCAGTGGTCCCAGGCTGCTTTTGGGGATGGGGGAGTCTGAGGTCCCCACACCCAGAGGAGCTCCCCTCTGTCAGTTTGTCCTTTGGAGGAACAACTAAAATGGCTTGAACATCTCTTATCTGGTGGCACCCCCATTTCATAGCAGGGTGACTGAGGCCCGGAGAGGAGCAGGGCTGTGGGTAAGCTGGGGCGTGGCCAGGGCTAACAGTGGGTCGGGGGTCAGAAGCCTCTCCTCGGGGAGCAGCTGAGGTGTGGGCCACGGGCCCTGGCGACACACTGGGCAGGGAGGGAGAGGGGTAGGAGCCGAGGCTCTCTCCAGGGCAGAGCGCTCCCTGTCTAGGGTTCGGCCCTGGCTGGGGTAGGGATGCCTGGACCCCAGGTGAGTGTGGGGGCTGCTGGTTCACTCACTGATCCCAGCAGTGAGTTAGTGACTGCAGTATCTTTTAAATTTGCCCTGATGTGGTTCCTAGTCTGCACCTCCCATCCTGGCCTCATCCTCCTCCCCACCCATCCAGCCAGCCAACCCTGGGTGTCCTCACCTCTCAGCTCAGACTCCTGCTGACTTCTAGCTGAGACTGGAAGTGTCACCCCAAAGGGTCTTTCCATTCTATCAGTTTCTGGAGACATGGGTGATGGTTGGGTAGGCCCAGACCACACTTTCTGCACCCCTAATCTCTTTGCTGTTCTCTCCTGGTCTGCCTGAGCTACCTGGAGCCCCTATGTCCCTGGGGGCTGGGGCTGCTGCAGGGGCCAGCAGGGAGAGAAGATGGCTGCAGCTGGGCGTCCAGCGGCTTCTCCTTCCTGCCTCTCCTTCCAGCAGCCTCGCCCTCGAGAAGCAGCAGTGGCAGGAAAGGTGGGGCAGGAATGCCTGGGCCCCCGCCCTCGGCCAGAATTCTGAGGCGCCCGCCCAACCCTGCTCCAGAGCCAAGTCCCTGGGAGTCATAGGCTCGGCCAGGGGCCTGGGGTGCTCCATGGCATCTTTCCGGTGGTTTGGGGAGGGCTGAGACCCCTTCCTGTTTGCACTTTTGGGTCTGCCTATGTCACTTGCCCTATGTCACTTGTCATTGGGTGTCCTGATTATGTCCCCTACCTCTCCCAGGTTGGCTAACTCCAAAGCCTCAGAGTGTCAGACCAGGGAGAGGCACCTTGCAACTCTCCACCCTCAGATGAACTCCTTTGCTAAGTGACGGCCCCAGAGTCTGGTGGGAGAGGCTGAGGCTGTGGCCTGGCTGCGGCGGCCTTGAGCCCAGGCCCCTCCAGGCAGGATGCTGCATTCCTAGGTGATCCCTGCCTGATTGGAAAGTCCCTCACTCCAGGGCAGGAAATCCCAGGGCTCAAGCCCACCTGCCCACCCCAGCAGCCTCCACCTCTTGAGTGGGTCTCATCCAGCAGGCTCAGCCTGGTTGGGGGGATTCCAGGCTCCCATCCACACTGACTCCCCTCTCACTGCTGGCACCATCTCTGCAGCTGCCACCACGTTCTTCTCCCCAGCTCTGACTTTGGACCCCACCATTACCTCGCTCTGGAGTCCTCCGTGACTCTCCATGGTTGACTCAGGCAAAGTCTAGCTCCTCTGATGGCCAGTTAGGGTGTGCTTGGTGGGCTACCCTCAGAGGCTGGGCTCACACCCACGAGCCTTCGATCTCACGGTCCCCCCGCCTGTGTGCTGTGTCCCGCTTCCTCTTCATTCTTGCCTGTCCTTCGTGGCTCTGGCAGGAAGCCTCCAGACTCCCTCCATCCCCCCACACCTCTTCTTGCCCACACAGCCTTGTTGGGTAAAGGGAGCCCTCAGCCATGGCCTCGAAGACAAGGCTGGACTCCTCTGACAGCATGTCCTTGTTACCAGAGACCGCAGAGACCCTGAGCAGAGACTCAGTAGAAAGGGGGCTAAAGTCAGAGCACCACTAGATGTGGGCACTTGGGATCCATGGTGGGTGTTTGAGCAGGGAATGAGCAGGCCAGAACTGGGCTTGAAGAGTATCTCCCCTTTTGGGTAAAAAGGGTTGCTTCCCTTGGAAGTTCTGAGCCCTCTCTCCCGCCCGTTCAGGCCCCCCTCCACTGGGCCCAGACAGAGCAGGGCAGGGGTCAGTGGCCAGGCCAGGAACTCCCTGTGAGGTGACCTGTGCCCACTGCTCAGTTCTGCTGCAGGTGGGCACCCAGCCTGAGAGGATGGGCACTGACCCTGCTCCTGCTGCTGCTCTCTGGCCGTGACCTGTGCCCCCCTAGGAGGCCCTGAGCCGGGCACCCTGGCCATGTGCAGCGCTGAGGAGGCAGCCCTGCTGCGGCTGGAGGAGGTCTTCTCAGCCACCCTCGCCCGCGTCAACAGCCTTGTCCTCCAGCCCCTGCTGTCTGCCGGTGAGTGGGTCTAGGCTTTCCAGTGGGGACGGCAGGGGACCCAGGAATGATCCCAGGGATGGGAGACCTACCTTGCTGGACTGTGTGAGCCACAGCTTTAGTCAACCTTAAACGGGAGGGTGACGCTTGGTATCAGCATCTCCTGGTGGAACTGGGGCCCTGGCCTCCAGCTGCTGGCTGCTCCTTTCTTAAAGGGACCCTGAGGGCCAAGCCATGATCCTGCACTGTTGCCCAGACCTGGCTATGCACAGAGATGAAATTCCCCTCCTCCGGGGCCTGGGCCTGGAGACAGCCCTCTGCCTGAATTCTCCTCGCTCCCACCCAGCCGCCCGGGGGTGCTGGGAAAAGCCCGACTAGAAGGCAGGGACCTAGGTTTTACTTCCAGCTCGAGTCTCACCTGTGCCCTTGGACAGGTGCCTTCTTCTGGGGGACTCTGGGCATGTGAGAAATAGGAGAGGACTGACAGTGTGACCCCGTGGACTCCACATGCTGGATCTGAGGAGTCGAGGGCAGGGAGGCCAAAGGCACGGGGATCAGTGTATGCACTTGGCTGCCTGGGGTTCCGGCCATGCCTGTTTGGAGGAGGTGTCGTGCGCCCTGTGTACGCCTCAAGGTGCTGCCCGCTGCTCGGCCTGCCCTGCCCCTGCTGAGCTCTAGTGTCAACCCTGTCCTCAGGGATGCGGGTCCCCGCTGCAGCCACAAGGCTGTGGGGTTCTGCTGGCCCTCGTGTGAGCACACGGGACTGCTGTGTTCCCAGGGCATAGAGTGGCCATGTCCCCCACTCACATGTGGCTGTGCTCCCGCCCCAGCCCCAGAGCCGGCAGAGCCCCAGAGCAGAGAATGCCTGCGGCTCTTGCAGCAGCTGCACAGGAGCTCCCAGCAGCTCTGGGAGGTGACGGAGGAAAGCCTGCACTCGCTGCGGGAGAGGCTGCGTCACCCCGACTCCACTGGCCTGGAGTCCCTGCTGCTGCTGCGAGGCGCGGACCACGTCCTGCAGGTCTACACCGAGTAAGACCACCGAGCGGGGCTGGGGCCTGGCCATGGTTCAGAGCGCCGCCTGGCATGAAGGCCCACCTGGTCAGGGCTTGGGCAAAGGTTTGGGTTCAGCCCAGGGCTGGTGCTCACCTGGAGTGGGGACTCACCTGGGTTTGGTGTCACCCGGCTGGGGTGTTAGCCTGGCGGCAAGCTCAGACGCTCCAGACCTGAGCGCTGGGGCCTCTCAGGGAAGAAAGACTGTAGGTTAGAGCTGTCTTGTTGGGTCAAGACTGGAGGTCACCAGTACTCAGGCCACTGTCTGGGCCCTCTGAGCTGTAGCTGTTTAGTGGGTGAGCTCTGGGGACCCCAGAGGCCAGGGACTTGGGTCTGGAGCTGGGGGCTGGGCTCACAGGTGTCCCCTCTGCTGCCTGCAGGTATATCGAGTCCTACACGAGCTGCATAGTGGTGCAGGCCTTTCAGAAGGCAACAAAGAGGAGGAGGTGAGCATAGGGCTGCCTCAGTGGGCCCCTGGGTGGGTGGGGGGTGTCTGAGTGAGGGTGGGGCAGGGAAGCCCCCACCCCAGAGCAGCGGGTGTCACAGCCTAAGACACATCCTGGAGGACTCCTGGCTCTAAGACGTCTACACTGATCCACACTGGGAGAGAGGGAGGAAGGCCTGGCGGGGCCAGGAGCAGATCCAGACAGTGACAGCGACCGGCTGGGCCTGGGGCAGGGCGGGAGGGGCATTCCCACTCAGGCTGGATGGCTGTCCTTGGCGGTCCCTTCGAACTCTGAGACGGTGCTGCTAAACCTCCAGCAAGGGCAGCTCGCGTCCTGAGCCGTTGGTCTGTAGGGTAGAAGCTCTGGGGCTGGGGCTGGCCCGGAGGGGGGCGGGGAGGTGGCAGGTGTGGGCAGAGGCGGGGAGGGTGAAGGGGTGCGCGCCCTCCCTCTGCGCAGCGAGTTCTGGCGGGCCCAGTTGAAGTCGCTGCGGCAGCTCCTGTCAGGCGTGGGCTCCAAGTGCTCGGTGGGCACAGCGCTGATCCAGGCCCTCCGCCAGCCGCTCGCCCACCACGTGCAGCAGTATGTGCTCCTCCTGCTGAGCCTTGCGGACGCCGTCCCGGAGGTGGGCGCAGGGACAGCAGCCCGTGGGGAGGTCGGGGGACACGGGCCCAGGCCCCGGGGGCCCAGCTGGTACTCAGGAACCCTAGCTCAAGGAGGAAACTGGCCGTGCCTGTGGGGCCTGAGGAGGTCAGGCCCTGCCCTTGGGTGTCGAGGGGACCTGGTCCTGCCCGGGGGCATCTTAGTGGGTCAGGCCTTGCCCCGGGCTGTCTGGGACGCATGGGCCTGCCCTGCTGGAGCAGCAGAGACCCAGAGAGCCGATGTAGAACTGTCCTCTGGGTGTGAGGACACATGGCCCCAAGCTGGGGGCGTCGTGGAATGGTCTAGACCCCTCTGGAATCACCTTCACACCCCCACCCCACAAGAGAAGAGGAGCTGGCCTAGATCCAGCCTCCTGACCAGCTGGGGCCAGGACAGAGCCAGGGCAACCATCCCAGGGTGGGGGAAAGCTCTGCCCACCCTCACTGGCTGCCCCGTCCCTGCAGCGCCACCCTGCGCGGGAGCTGGTGGTGAACGCGGCCACCCTCTTTGGGAACCTAGAGTCCTTTATGAGGCAGGCGTTGGACCAGGCGGTGGCCACCCAGGCCCTCTGGCACACTCTGAGCAGCCGGCAGAGGGTGAGTGAGGGGCAGTCAGAGGGGGTTCCACATGGGGCATGGGGCTGCTGGGTGGCTTCAACTGCTTGCCATGTTCTCTGTGCCTTGGTTTCCCCATCTAGAAGGAGGATGGTGGCTGTAAGGGCCCTCTGTCTGGCCACCCTCAGCCATCTGCTGAGCCCTCCTGGGCCAGGCAGTGACTGGCGCTGGGGAAGAAGCAGTCAGCAGGACGGACTGTCCCCCTGGGGAGCCACCAGTCCCACCCCTGCATCTCTGCCCACCGGGGCAGGCACTGCCCTTGCAGGAGGGAGTCCTGTGTGCCCTACGAGGGTGTGACAGGCTTGCGCCAGTGTGGAGAATTAGAAGAACAGGTGGAAGGGACAAGAATTGCCGAAGGGAGGCAGGGGTTGCAGGATCCGGGGTGAGGGTTGAGGGGCGTGGCTGGGGCCGGGACTCGGGGGTGGGATGTAGGAGAGGACACAGTGGAGCCTTGAGAGGGAAGTGCCACCCCACTGGGAAAGGCCAGAAATGATCCCCGCATCTTGGAGCCCAGTGCCTGTCACAGCCCTGGGGGCACGCTGGGTCTGCTGGAGGAGGAGGCCTCTGGGATGTGTCTGGGGTGGAGGGAGGTAGCAGAGTGGCTGCAGCTGCTAGCGCAGGTGCCTGAGCCTCGCGCCGCCCTCCTTGCCCCGCCAGGACGTGCTCTGCATCCCCGCTCACCGACTCTTGCAAGACAGCCAGGACGTACCCGTGACGGTCACCCCGCTGCGGGCTGAGCGCGTGATGCTCTTTGATGATGTCCTCGTCCTGCTGCAGGTTGGGGTGGGGCCGACCTGGGGTCCACAGCAGGGTTCAGGGGTCTGGTTGAGAAAGGAGCAGGACAGGGACAACCTGCTGGGACTGAGGACTTAGGCTTGGGGAGGTGGCGGGGACAGAAAGGAGAGTGTTGGGTGGGGCCGTGAGTGGACATCCCCAAAGGGCGTGGGCTGTGGGGAAAGGCTGCACGGCACACCCTGGCTTCCGCCCTGCCTGCCGCTGTCCCTGGTCAGAAGTCTTCACCTGGGCTCCCTCATCTGGAGAGTGGGGAGCACCGCCAGTGAGCTTGTGCTGCGGCAGGTGCCCGGCAACTCTTAGTTCCTTTCTTTGTACTCAAGTAAGAGAGGAACCCCAGGCTGGGCGCGGTGGCTCACGCCTGTAATCCTAGCTCTCTAGGAGGCCGAGGCGGGCGGATCATTTGAGCTTAGGTGTTTGAGACCAGCCTGAGCAAGAGCGAGACCCCATCTCTACTATAAATAGAAAGAAATTAATTGGCCAACTAAAAATATATAGAAAAAATTAGCTGGGCATGGTGGCGCATGCCTGTAGTCCCAGCTACTCGGGAGGCTGAGGCAGAAGGATCACTCAAGCCCAGGAGTTTGAGGTTGCTGTGAGCTAGGCTGACACCGCTGCACTCTAGCCTGGTCAACAGACCAAGACTCTGTCTCAAAAGAAAAAAAAAGAGAGGAACCCCAGAACAGAAGTTGGGGTGGCCTTCGGTGACTGGGGGGGCCAGACGAGGGGGCTTCCGGGGGAGCGCCCGTGGAACAGTACAGATGCCAGGACGGAGGCAGACCCAGGGGCTGGGAGCTGTTACGTGGCAGAGCCTCTTGATTGCTCCGTCCTTCCCCCACTCCCGTTGCCCTTGTGAGGTCCACAGCGCTGTCATCTCTGCCCTTAGAATGTCGGCCTTCGAGCCCTGTGCAGACAGGGAGGCTGAGGCCCGGGAGGGACGCTGTGTGCCCAGTCCAGACCCAGGCCTCCTGAAGCCCGGTGTGGGGTTGGTTCTGATTTAGTTTGTGTTCCTCTCCACTCCTGACTTCACCTGTGTGCTCCAGGTACACTCACGAGATCCTGTCCTTTAATGTGCTAGTGTCCTCTCTCGCCTCAGGACCTTTGCACATGCTGTTGTCTCCGTTGAGCCCTCTCTTGTCCCTGGCCTGCATCTGGGCCTCACGCCTCCTCTTGCTCTGGCCATGGAGCAGCGCTTGGCCTGCCTAGGCCAACGTCTTCCCAGAGGAAGGGACCTTCTGTCTGGCTCGCAGGGCAGGGTGGCATTCCAGGTAGAGGGAACAGCATGAGCAGAAGCCCAGAGTGAGGAGAGTTTGTGGTCAGCTCGGGAAGGGGCCGTGTGGAGCGGCCAGAGAGGGTGAGGGCTGGGAACGCACGAGCCTGGGCTGGTCTGTGGGGTCTCGAATCCCAGCTCGGCGGTGTGTCCCGGCCCCCAGGCCGTGAGAGCCTCTGACAGTGGGGGGGACGGGGTCCGAGCTGCATTTCCAGAACACTCTTGTGGCCACAGGGAAACAGAGGCTGGTCCCGGGTCCCCGGCCAGGCTCTGGGGTGGAAAGGACAGGGGGAAGCTGGCCCTAGGATGGGAAGCAGGCGGAGTGGTGAGGGACTCAGTGCCGGGACAGAGCAGCCTCCGGGCACCAGGTTGGTGCATGGGGCAAGCCTGGGCCAAGGGCAGGTGAGCCTCTGGTCTGTTCTGGATGACGCCTGTGTCCATCTTCTTCCAGGGCCACAATGTCCACACCTTTGATCTGAAGCTGGTGTGGGTGGATCCTGGGCAGGACGGGTGAGCGACCCCCTCTGCTGACACCCTGGGCCTTCCCTCCATGCACCCCATGGCACCTGCCACACCCAGGGCTCCAACTCAGGCCCTCTCCCACCCCTCCTGCACAGAGCGGGGCCTACTCACCCCCTCGTCTGTCTAGGTGTACGTTCCACCTCCTCACGCCTGAGGAAGAGCTCTCCTTTCGTGCCAAGGACCCCCAGGGCCAGGTGAGTGTGGGTGAGCTGTGCATTGGGGAAGTGGGTTCAGGGGACGGAGGGGGGGGCAGCAGGGTAGAAGCGTGCAGCACTGCAGGGCTCCACACGGGTGCTGGCGAGGGGCTAGCAGGCCTTGGGGGCCAGGGTCAGAGGAAGTCAGGGGTCAGCCTGGGGTCGGGCATCAGAATGCCAAAGAGAACAAGGACTTTTTCTATGAAGCCAGAGCCGGGGCCTGTGCCATCCCTGCCCCGTGCCTTGCTCGGCCCTGCTGGGCAGACTCCGAAGCTGCAGCCGGGGATCTCAGCCCGCGTGGGGCCCTAGGAGCAGCGAGGGGCACTTGGGGGTTCTCGCAAGTGACAGTGGGGTGGGGTGAAGGAGGGGGTGGCACCTGGAGCTGCCCCAGAATGCTTCTCAGAGGGGATGTGTCTTGCAGTGACTTGCCCTGTGTTTCCCTGTCCCCACCAGGCGGTCTGGCAGTGGAAGGTGACCCAGGCCGTATGCCAGGCCCTGCGTGGGAAGAAGGACTTCCCCGTGCTGGGGGCGGGCCTGGAGCCCTCTGAGCCCCCCGCCTGCCGCTGCGCCGCTCACACCTTCCGCGCGGAGGGCCGGTTCTGCCAGGCCACCTACGAGGGCGAGTGGTGCCGGGGCAGGCCCCACGGCAAGTGAGTGGCCGGGGGCGGGGCTGCTCCCGGGCTCTGAGACCTCACCCCCTCAGGGCTCGCTCCGAAGGCTGTCACTGTCCGTGGTCAGCGGGTCGATTCTCTTTGTCCCTCAGAGTCTCTCTTATGTCCCCTTGGGCAGGGCCTGGCCCAGAGTAGGTCTATGTCAAATAAGGTGTTGGTGGTGACAGCTAGAGAGCACGGGGCAGCCGTCAGGTGCTGGCCGCGGGGCCTGTGCTCGTGCCACTCCCTTCCCAGGAGGGTGGGAGAAGAGTCCTCCAGCGTGGTCCAGTGGTGGCGAATGGTTTGCACACATTCTCTCTCCACCTGTCCTCGCGAGAACCTTCTAGGGAGCGTGTTTTACCCATTTCATAGGTGCAGACACTGAGGCACCGTGTCTGGCAGGACTTGCCCAGGGTCTCAGGGCCGGTGATAGGTGGGCCTGGCCTCAGCCACAAGCAGAAAACCCTTCCCCCCATGCTACAGCTGGGAACACTGAAGCCCAGAGCGAGAGGGTTCGCAAGGTTACACTCTCAAGCACATCCATTCGTTTCTAATACCCTGCCGACTGCCAGAAAGGGCTTAAGGAGGCTTCTGAAGAAAAAGACAGAAAAAAACAATGCCATATCAGACGATGGGAGGAGGATGGTAGAAACTCCACTGACTAGCATTTAACTTGAGTTTGAAGTTTAGCTCTGAGCTTCCTGTTGGTCAAGGGGAAAAGGGAATCTAGATGTTTCCTGGGCTCTCCTTATAGAATATGGTGAGTGTATCCCACGAGGCTATTGGAGCAGTTGTGCCAGGAGCAGAGAAGGGCTAAAAGGGCTTTCTTTGGGGGTCTTAGAGCTCAGGCAAGAAGGCTGGGTGTGGACAGAGTCCAGTCCAGTGGGGAAGGGAGGGCCTCTGGGAAGTCTGCAGCTGAGGCTGTTGAGGGGTGAGTGTGGTGGGCCTGAGGTCCTGGGCCTTGGCTGTGTTCCAGGGGGACCCTGAAGTGGCCGGACGGGCAGAATCATGTGGGGGATTTCCGCCAGGGCCTGGAGCATGGGTAAGCGGCCTGGGCCGAGGCTGGCGTATGGGGGGGCAAGGGGCGCTCTCTTGCCTGCTGCGGTCACCAGTCTGGCCCCGTCCTAAATGCCCGAACCTCAAGCAGGACTGAGGGACCGTCTGGTCCAGCCCCCCTCACTGTACAAAAGGGGACCTGAGGCCCTGAACGGTGGGCTGGTCCCAGCTCCAGGGCACGGAGGGGTGGCACCGGCCGGAAGGTGCAGGGGCGGGCAGGGGTCGGGGGGCGTCCTGAGGGGCCCCTGGTAGGAGAGAGAGCCGAGTCCTTTGAGATTCTCCCTATTGTCTGGAAAGCTGGCTGGGGGCAGGGACGCTCCTGGGTGGCAGGGAGGGGTGTGACAGGTGTCTCAGGTCAGGGATGCGCAGGGAGGTGGCCCTGGTACTGATGCCTTGCCCCGCCCCGCCTTGCCGTCAGCTTTGGCATCCGCCTGATGCCCCAGGCCTCCGAGGACAGGTTCGACTGTTACAAGTGCCACTGGCAGGAGGGCAGAATGAGTGGCTATGGCATCTGTGAGTAAGTGACCCTCGTAAGTGACCCTCGGCTGGCGGGGCAGGGGCGGGGGATGGCACGTTCCCTGGGCAGGACTGTGCGAGGCTGGGCCAGCTGTCTGTGACTCTCCGCAGATACGGCACCGAGGAGGTGTACAAGGGCTACTTCCAGGAGGGCCTGCGGCATGGCTTTGGGGTCTTGGAGAGCGCCCCGCAGGCCGCCCGACCCTTCAGGTACACGGGCCACTGGGAGAAGGGCCAGAGGAGCGGCTATGGCATCCAGGACGACAGTGACAGGTGAGTGCTCCCCAGCCACTGCCCCCAGCATCAGGGACCGGGAGGATGCTCGCAGACAGAGTGACCCAGGACACAGGCTCCTGTGCGTCCCCACAGGGTCTCTCTTGAGTCCCTCCCTCCCTCTCTGCCCGCTGGGTTGTTGCGGAGCCCGGACCATCCTCACTGCAGGGCCACTCCCTTCCTGGCCCTCCCCATGGGGCCGGAGAGCAGTTTCTGGGCCCTGACCTGCTGCTTCTAAGAAGGGCAGCCCTGTCAACTCTCCGGGCCGTGGGACAGAGCCTGGGTCCTTGGCCTGGCCATCACAGCCTTGCCCGCTCCTCTGACCCCGTCCTGGCCGTGCTCCCGTGCACCCCGCCAGCCTTTCTGGACCCCCGAATGTCCCCACATATCTGTCACATGCTCCTGCCTGCGTGGCTTTGTGCACACAGGACTGCACCCCCGTTCCATCTGTCCTTCCTGCCACGTCCACCGGGCAGCCTCCCTCCCTCCTCCACCCTCTGATCCTCTTGGGGGTCCTGACCTCACCTGCCCCGTGTCTGAGTTGAGTGGATGCAGGCGACGTCCCTGCTCCTTATCCCCACCAACCCCACGGCAGCAGGGCACCCAGAAGGTGCCTGGGGACGACTCTGATCCGCCTCTGGCCTCACCCCTCTTGCCCCAGGGGCGAGCGCTATATTGGCATGTGGCAGGCTGACCAGCGCCACGGCCCGGGGGTCGTGGTCACCCAGGCGGGCGTCTGCTACCAGGGCACCTTCCATGCGGACAAGATGGTGGTGAGTGGGGACACCTGCGTGTCCTAAGCTGCCCCTCCCTGCAGCCCGTCTGCTCTGGGGCCCGGAGCTGAGCTGGGGCTGTTCATGGGTAGGTGACGAAGGGCGCTGTGTTCCTGGTGCTGGAGGGACCTGGAACCTGGGCGGGCCCCCAGCTCTGCCACCCCCCCCCTGGCCTTGGCCAAATCCATGCCCAGCCAGCCTCAGTTTCCCCATCAGCAAGTCAGGTTAATAGTTCTTACTGTGGACTCAGTGAAATAGCAAGAATGGGCATGTGGTAATGCTGCCAGTAGCCTCAGTGACCGACATTCGTGACCCGTGCCTCAATGTCTTGCTCTGCTAAGCCTCCCGCCAGGGTCTCATAAGACCCTCCCAGGAGCCCTGCAGGTTGATGTCATTATCATCCCTAGTTATGGATGACAAATGAGTGGCTCCGAGGGGCCAGAGAAGCTGCCCAGTGTCACACCTTTTGAGTGGCAGGCAGAGCGGAGGCCCACCCAGAGCCCTCCCCTTTTGCCTCACCACACCCTGGCGCTCGGGGCTCGGTACTCAGGGGGCTCTGGCCTGGTGGCTGTGACTGTCACTTCAATTTGTTTGTTCACACTCCGCTTTGTTCTGGAAGAGACTGAAGGAGGCCTATGAGGGAAGAGGAAGAAAAGGCGAGAATAGGCACACGAAATAGGTTCAGAAGTAAGCTGAACACAAATCATATCCCATTTGGCTGTGAGCTTCCTGGCAACCAACGTGGCAAGGGAAACTGATCAGTTCCACCGTCCCTAGGGCCAGTGACAAGCAGGAAGCAGGGATGGTTCAGGACAAGCCCAGCACCCCCTAAGCTCCAGGGGCTTCCTGAAGAGGCTGCTGGGGGTACAGAGCCAGGTCTGGGGGTGTCATTTAGGGACACCCAGGGATGAGGTCCAGGGGGCTGATGCTGGACAGGCCAAGGATTAGGGTCCCACTTAGACACAGCCTTAGGGGTGTGGCAGGGCTCAGGGCCTTCCCTCTTTTGCCGTCCCCTCCCCACCCCCGGTTTCCTGGCCCTTCTCACCCACTGCTCCACCCCCCTTCCTCCCCAGGGCCCAGGCCTCCTCCTCTCCGAGGACGACTCCCTGTACGAGGGCACCTTCACCAAGGACCTGACCCTCATGGGGAAGGTGAGGGCCACCGAGACCCTGCTCTACCCGATGCCGAACGCTTGGCCGGGGTCTGTCATCTGCCCCCAGGACTGAGGGCGGAGGCGGTGCAGGCAGAAGGTGGCCGGTAGGGGAGGGCCGCGCCCACCTCCGTCACCTCCGAGGGTGGGCACAGCGACTGCTCTCTGCCACGCACTCGGGATGAGTCCTGGAGCCAGCTGGGAGGGGGCCAGCCCAGTGGGCGTGCCCTGCGTCCAGAGGGTGCTGGTGGTCTCCTGGCTGACCCCCTAGTTCAGAATGCACTCCCTCCTCCACCGCCAGTGCCTTGGGCAGCTGCCCCTAGAGTCACCGTTTTTCAGGGTCCTGCTGGGGCCTTTGGAAATGTGAGGCTGTTTTGGTTTCATGGTGACCGGCTAGAGAGCAGAGGTGCTACCAGTGGGACAGCCCCGTGCAGCCAGGGGTTGCCTCCCCTGGCCTCTGCCTGTCTCTGGCCTCACCCCCGGCCCAGCCCCGCAGCAGTGGCTCCCCCACTCTATCCTGTGTGTCCCTCTCCCCCTCCCCCTCCTGCCTCGGAGGTGAGCGGTGGCGGGCGGGGCTGTGCCTGGAAGATTGAATGGAGGGTGGGGAGTGCACCCATCCTCTCTGGCCCAGATGGACGGGCACGAGGCCTGTCGTGATTGGATGGAAGGGCAGCTGGCCAGACAGACACCCTGCCTCCCTCTCCTGGCTCCAGGGCAAGATTACCTTCCCCAATGGCTTCACCCTGGAGGGCTCTTTTGGCGGTGGGGCAGGGAGAGGACTGCACACACAGGGCGTGCTGGACACGTCTGCCCTCCCCCCGGACCTGAGCAGCATCTGCAAGAGGTGAGAAGCTGGTCCATCTGCCTGGCCGTTGTGGGGCTTGTCTGGGGGTATATCTGTGTTTCCACCCCAAGAACTCGGAGCCCATCAGAGGGGCCTCTCCATACCCCCTCTTAGCACCTCAGAGAGTTCAGAGAGCCCAAGGCACATAACCCTCCAGTCAGAGACTCTTGGACTCAAGGGCTACTTGGAGGTAACTCCCTACACCGCTAAACTGGAGAAAAATATTATTCGTAGGCTTTGCTTAGACCCTGCTTTTTTTGTTTTTCTAAAAAGGGTACAAGACAGTTTATAAACCAAACAAACAAGAAAAAGAAAAGAATAGAAAAGAATGAATTGATCATAAAAGAAAGGGATGTGCAAATAGGCCCTACAAAGATGTGATTGAGCGTTAGCCTGGCCCTGAGTTTTCTGGCAGCCAAGGTGAAGAAGGAAACTTGCTAAGTAGAATCACTTTCGCTATCAAAGGGTATTTGAAGGGGAATAGACCTCTTTTCCCTTGGGAACAGAGTTCTTCCCTGGAAAACTGTAGTTCAGGTGGTGACTCTTGCCATATATCTGTTGAGAAAGACTTGGTATTGCACAGATGGATTCTCTATGGGTGGTAGTTCTAATGGGGAGTGGTCCCAGGCAGCAGCTTCTCCCTGACAGCAGGATTTGGGAGTGGACAGCAATCCCCAGGGGCAGGCCCTAGCCCGGGTGGGGTGCAGGTGTAGGGCAACAGCATGACTTGGGAGGGCAGCATTCATTAGACAGTGTCCAGAGGTACACTGATGTATGCATAGTGTCCACACAGTGTCCTAACGTACAGCCAGGCCCGGCCTGTTGGCCAAGGTGGGATCAACCACAGGAAAGAACTGGCTATGGGGTGGGCAGAGTGGGGTATTGAGGCAGGAGAATCCCAAACTCTGGGCACCAGTCTATCTTGGGCCAAGACCCGCTCTCTGGACTTGGCCTCCAGCTCTCTGGATCTGCCCACCTCCTGTCTCCGTATTTTCAGGACTCCGTGTGCCTCTGTCTCTCTTCTCCATGGCAGGGTAAATTCTCTCTGTCCCTCTCTCTGCCTCTTTTTCCCCTGAGCCATGGCGGTCAGCCCTATTTGCATGGCCTGATCCATCCACCCTTCCTGGGGCTTGAACCTGGGGCAGGCTGGTACCCCTACCCTCCAAGGGCCTGGACAGGGTCCTGCCCACCGCAGCGCCATCTCTCCCCGTCCCCAACCCCTCCTCCCCCCTTGCAGGCAGCTGGGTCTGGGCGCCTTCCCCGTGCAGAACCGCTGGCAAGGAGTCTACGGCCCCTTCCGTGACTTTGTGGCTGCCGGCTGCCCCGGGGACCTGCAGGAGGCCCTGCTGGGCTTCCACGTGCAGAGCTCGAGGGAGCTGCGCAGGTCCCAGGATTACCTGTGCTGCGCGAGGTGAGGCCGGTGTGTGCGGGTGTGCGTGCACCCACGGGTCAGGGCGGAAGGCCCCCTGGGGGACGGGCCCGGGTCTAGCGTGGGTGAGGGACTCTGCGTGTGGTGCCCCAGGACCCAGCCCGAGGACGTTGTGGGCAGGATCAAGGACAGCCTGGCGGAGCTGCTGCGGCACCGGGAGCCCAAGGCCCTGCAGCGGCACCTCAGGAAGGTGAGGGCCCCGGGGTGGGCGGCCGAGAGGTGATGGTGGGGAAGGCTTCCCATGTCTCATAGCAGGGGCTGACTAGGGGGGACAGGCCTGTGGGCCCCCTGTCCTCAGAGGGCCTCAGTGTTCCCATCTGTGAAATGGGAGCAGTCTTGGGGGCTTGTCTGGGCGTGCTGTGCGCCAGACCCTGGTGCTGAGTGTGTCTTCGCTGCCTGCGCGCCGGCCCAGGCTCTGAGCAACTCGCTGCACCCCCTGGGGAAGCTGCTGCAGAGGCTGATGCTGACCTTCCAGGCCACGTACGCGGGAGTGGGGGCCAACAAGCACCTGCAGGGGCTGGCCCAGGAGGAGGTGAAGCAGCATGCCCAGGAACTCTGGGCTTCCTACAGGTGAGCTCGGTGGCACATGGGGACAGTCACTGCCCTGTGACCTCAGGTGGGGAGGTGCTGCCCTTTCCAAGCATCAGCTCTGCCGGGCATCCTGGTAGGACGGGTGCCTCTGTCTCAGGTCTGACTCAGCGAAGAGCTGGAGGGCTGGTCAGCGAGCAGCTGGGGAGCAAACGGGTTAGAGGTGGGGGGTGATAGCAAGGGCCCAGCTGCAGTCCTCTGCTACAGTGCGAGCCCCAGCCAGGCCCGAGGCACTCTAACCCCACTGCAGACTGAGGCCGGCCCCAGGCACTCTAACCCACTGCAGATGAGCACCAGGCCCAGGGACCACTGCTAACTCCACTTGCAGACTGAGCAGGCCCTCAAGAGGCATTAAGCCCCACTGCATGACTGAGCCAGGCCCAGGGACACTGTAAACCCCACTGCGAACTGAGCCAGGCTCAAAGTCAACACCACTGCAGACTGAAGCCAGGCCCCAAGGGCACTCTAACCCCACTGCAGACTGAGCCAGCCCCAGGGGACACTGTAACCACTGCAGACTGAGCCAGGCCCCAAGGGCACTCTAACCCCACTGAGACTGAGGCCAGGGGCCACAGGACCACTGTAACCCACTGACAGACTTGAGCAGGCCTCAAGGGCACTCTAACCCCACTGCAAGATAGCCAGGCCCCAAGGGCACTCTTAACCCACTGCAGATGAGCCAGGACCCAGGGACACTGTAACCCCACTGAGACTGAGCCAGGCCCCCAGGGCCACTCTAACCCACTGCTAGACTGAAGCCAGGCTCAAGGCACTCTAACCCCACTGCAGACTGAGGCCAGGCCTCAAGGGCACTCTAACCCCACTGCAGACTTCTAGCCAGGCCCCAGGCACTCTAACCTCACTGGCAAGGACTGAGCCAGGCCCCTAAGGCATTTACACCCACTGCAGACTGAAAGCACAGGCCCCAAGGGCACTCTAACTCCATCAGACTGAGCCAGGCCCAAGGGCACTCTAACCCAATGCAGACTGGAGCCAAGGCACCCAGGGCACTCTAACCCCACTGCAGGACTGAGCACAGGCCCCAAGGGACACTCCTAACACTCGCAGAACTGAGCCAGGCCCTGAGGCACTCTAACCCCACTGCAGACTGAGCCAGGCCTCAAGGGCACTCTAACCCCACTGCAGACTGAGCCAGGCCCCCAGGGCACTCTAACCCCACTGCAGACTGAGCCAGGCCCCAGGGACACTGTAACCCCACTGCAGACTGAGCCAGGCCCCAGGGACACTCTAACCCCACTGCAGACTGAGCAAGGCCCCAGGGACACTGTAACCCCTCTGCAGACTGAGCCAGGCCCCAGGGACACTGTAACCCCACTGCAGACTGAGCCAGGCCTCAAGGGCACTCTAACTCCACTGCAGAATGAGCCAGGCCCCATGAACACTCTAACCCCACTGCAGACTGAGCCAGGCCCCATCTCCAGTCCCAGGCCGAGCTGTGACCCCATCAAACATTGCAAATAGAAGCCCGAGATGCTGTAGCTCCTCTGTCACTGGGGTTCCGGGATTCTCCAGCTGACCTCCTGTAGCTCCGGCCTCCCGGCTGCCGTGGTCTGGAGGCTGGCCTCCGCAGGCCCTGTGCCCACGGGCCTGAGCGTCGGAGGCTGTCTGCTGTCGCCTGCGTGGACTGAGAGGTGGAGCTCTGGTTCTGTGGGAGGTGGCAGCCACACCGATCCTCTCTCCCTGGTTTGCAGGGGTCTCCTGCGTGTTGCCTTCCAGCATAAGGGCCAGGCCCTGGAGGAGGAGGAGGAGGAGGAAGACGCAGAGACAAGGTGACCGGACCAGGCCTCTACGGGTTCTGTCCCTGGGGCCTCCCTTGGGGGAAGGAGCGCTGCTGGGGGGAGTGTTGGGCATGCATACCGTCCAACAAGCTTCGTCCACTGACCATTCGTGGATCAGAATGGCCGAGACCTCTGTCCTGTGAGCGGCCAGGAAGAGGGCCCGCTGCGACGCAGTGAGCGCCTCCCCGCGCGTGATGCCAGCCCCATCTTTCCGTGTGCGGAGGGGAGCAGCTCCCAGGCACCCCCTGCTCCCTGCACGCAGAGAGGGACGTCGAGGCCTGGTGGGGGTGAGCCCGAGGCCGCACCGGAGTTAGGTGGGCCATTCCACCCTCTTCCCCAGTCTCGGAGCAAGCCCTACAGTCCGCCTTCAGCTTCCAGGCCTGGAGAAGTTCCTGACCAGAGGGGCCTTTCCGTGCCCGCGCGGCAGGCGGCGTGGGAAGCGGGGTCAGACGGCAGGGCAACTTCCCCTGGAGTCGTAGGAAGCACAGCAAATAGCAGGCAGAACTGGACTGGCCTGGAGTGGCTGCCCAGAGTGTTGCTGCAGGCTGCTTGTCCGTCGGGGCCCTGGGATTGCCTTTCAGCCGGATGGGGTCACGGTCCGGCCCCCTCCGCCGTTGTAGGTCTCAAAGTCAAATGCGGGAGTGAGGCAGCCGCGGCGATCAATCGAATGAGATGAGAAGAGGCTTGGAAAGGGCTTTCTAGGGAGGAGGAGGCTGGAGGCTGGGACACTGGTTGTCATGGGACTGGGAGCTCTATGGGCTCTTTGAGGGGTGGCCCCGGTGGTGACCCTGCCCCCTGTCCCCCTGTCTCCCTCAGAGACCTCCACGTACATGGACTGGTGCTGCCCCTCGTGCTGCCCAGCTTCTACTCGGAGCTCTTCACGCTCTACCTGCTGCTTCACGAGCGGGAGGACAGCCTCTACAGCCAGGGCATCACCAGTCTGAGCCTCGTCCCTGACACCAAGCTGCTGGAGTTCCTGGAGGTGCAGAAGTAAGCCTTCTCCCCGTGCCATGTTAGCCAGGGCTCTGGCGTGGCAGACAATACATACTCCATGCAAGACTGTCTCAGCAAACCAGGGAGGTGGGGTTAGTTGACTACCTACCCATGAAGTTCTAGGGCTTGCATTCAGGTATGGCTGGATCTAGGTGCTCAACCCAATGACAAATGGGAAGTGCCTTCTCTTTTTCTCTGTTGGTCTTTCTCTGGCTCCCCCTTGTGGTGACAAACATGGCACCAGCCCCTCGAGGCTTATACCCTCCCAGCTGAGTCCCCACAGGGAGCTGGCACTTCCTCCAGCAGAGTGCCCCGAGTCCCGCACTGGCCAGGCTTGGGTCTTGAGTCCACCAGAGTGCTGGCTGCTCTTGGCCAGACCTGCCTCAGTATCCACCACTAAGGCAAAGTCACCTGTTCTGAGCACTTGAACCCGAGACTGGGGAGGGGAGGTCCCCAGGGAAACTGAGGACTGTTCTGGGAGCAGGTCGGGCAGATGTTTACCATGCCCAGGGCCTCCCTTCTAGCCCCTGTGCCCTAAACACCCTGTCTCCTCAGCACCCCTCTGATCCGTTGACGCTGTGAGGGACCCTGTCCCCGTCCCCAAGGGAGGGCTCAGGCACTCTCTCCTCCCGCCCCGAGGTCTCCTTGGTCACACGGGACAGTGCTTCCTCCCGCCCGCCCTGTTCCCCTGCCATCTCAGCGAACGTCCTGCATCTGACCGCTCACCAGCCCCGAGGCCCGGCTGCCAGGAGTCCCTCCCTCCCTCCCTCCCTCCCCTCCCCTCCGTGCCCCTTCCCCCCCACCGGCCTCAGCTCTGCCGTCCCCACAGTCCCTGCCACCGCGCTCTTCTGAGTCCCACGAGGCCTCCGGAACAGAGTCCAGTCCTCTCAGCCCTCGCTCTCTGCCCGGCCACCAAGATCTTGCTCTCGCAGGCCTTGGCCAGCGGGGCCACCGCACCCTCCTCTGCACCCGAGCCCAGCTCCCAGAGCGCTGCCTTCTCTAGGAGCCCCCTGCTCTCCCCGCGTCCGGCTCACTTCCTTCCCCTTTCCTGCGCTCAGCCCCACTGGGGACACCGTGGCACAGGGAATTTGCCCTCTGACCTCAGACCCTACCCCTTTGTCCTGGCAAAGCCTCCTGGCTCACTTTTTCAATTGCAGGCACCTGTGGCCCCTCAAGGACCTCACGCTGACGACCAATCAGGTAAGAGGGAGGCCCGACCCCTGAGTGATGGGTCCTATCAGTGATCGATCCGATCAATCCGTCACAGGGTGGAGGCTGCAGAGAGGGGGCGGCAGGCGTCCCGTGTTGTTCTGACCCCCCAGTGTGGGCGAGGGTGTGGCTGCCGGCCCACGGTGACCAGGCTCCACACGGCCTCTGCCCTTCTCTGGCTGTGTGACCGCGGGCAAGATACTGGAGCTCTGTGCCTCAGTTTCCCCAACTATAAAAGGGAGCCAGCACTGGGACTACCTCACAGGATCGTTGTGAGGGTGAAGTGGGCACACCAGGCGGTTGTTCTCAAAATGTGCTTGCCAGCCAGACCAGCAGCCTCGGGGTGACTGGGAACCTGTTAGAAAAGCAGATTCTTGGCTGGGCGCGGTGGCTCACGCCTGTAATCCCAGCACTCTGGGAGGCTGAGGCTAGAGGATCGTTTGAGCTCAGGAGTTTGAAACCAACCTGAGCAAGAGCGGGGCATGCCTGTAGCCCTAGCTACTGGGGAGGCTGAGGCAGGAGGATCACTTGAGCCCAGGAGTTTGAGGTTGCAGTGAGCTAGGCTGACACCATGGCACTCTAGCCCGGGCAACAGAGTGAGACTCTGTCTCAAAAAATAAAATAAAATTTTAATAAAGTGGATTCTCGGACCCACCTGTTGAGTCAGAAACTCAAGGAGTGGACCAGGAGCCCGGTTTCCACAAGCCCCTGGGCCTGGGAACCGCTGACATGGGCCCTCAGAGCCTCGTGGCTCCCAGTGGCCACTGCCGGTTATGATCATTATCTTCTTTCTCGTTTTCCATCCCCCCAACTTCCCGGAGCCTACTCACCCATTCTGCGGTTGTGTGAACTGAGGCCCGCAGTGGAGCTGCGGCTTGCCCCGTCACTCAGCCCTCAGGGCAGGGCCGTGCTGAAGCCAGGGGTGGGGAAGGGTGGGTGGCCAGAGGCTCAGGGCCTGCTCAGGCCCTGGGGGGTGTCCGAGCCTCATCCCACCACTCCCCCACCACGCAGAGGTGCTCCCTGGTCAGGGACAAGTGCTTCCTGTCGGCCACCGAGTGCCTGCAGAAGATCATGTGAGTCCCCGCCTTGGGGAGGGTCGGGGGGAGGCGGGAGTGTCGGGGGCCCCCAGTTGGGCCTGAGCCCGAGGGCCGTGACCTGGAGCCGGCTACTCGCTGCAGGACCACGGTGGACCCGAGGGAGAAGCTGGAGGTGCTGGAGAGGACATACGGGGAAATTGAGGCCACCGTGTCGCGGGTGCTGGGCCGGGAGCACAAGCTGCCCATGGATGACCTGCTGCCCCTGCTCATCTACGTGGTGTCTCGTGCCCGGTGAGCCCGGCCCGGCCAGGAGCCATGCCCACCCTGCCATTCCCCCAACCAAGACGTGCGGAAGCCTCTGAACGTCAGGGTTTATGGATGCAGCTTTCCTCAGTACAGAGGGGGAAGCTGAGGCCCAGAAAGGGGAGGGGCCTCGCCAGGGTCCTACAGGTGCCAGAAGCAGAGCGAGGGCCACACCCCGGGTGTCCAGCTGTCTGGGTCAGGGCTCCTCCCCCAGCTGCATGGTGCCTGTCTGTGACACCCCTCTCCTCTGCCTCGCTCTCTTTGTGAGGGTCGTTCTCTAGAATCCAGCACCTGGGAGCCGAGATCCACCTGATCCGCGACATGATGGACCCCATCCACACAGGAGGCCTGTATGACTTCCTGCTCACGGCCCTGGAGGTGAGGGACAGAGGCCGTAGGCCGCTGGGGTGGACCCCTGCCTCCCCCGGACACCGTCGTGGGGATGAGCTGAAATTCGCTGCTCACCTGTGTCTCCATGGCAAGGTTTTCACGGCGCCCCTGGGCCTGCCTTGTTAAAAGGCTGGAGGGGAGGGGTCCTACAGCGCAGCCCAGCCCTGGGGACCCTGGGGTCATGACCGCGGCAGGCTGTGTCCCCGAGCACGGTGGGAGAGGTTGCACCCCCGTTTCCCTTGCAGACTGTGGCTGAGCGGGAGACAGACCAGGGAGGTGGGTGCACCGGGGAGGTGGGTGCACCGCCTGCTGGGCCTTAGGTCCCGGCATGGGGCAGGGAGCAGGCAGGCCCGCTGGCCCCAGCCTCGCCTCTCTCCCGCCAGTCCTGCTATGAGCACATCCAGAAGGAAGACATGAGGCTGCACCGCTTTCCCGGCCAGTGGGACTCCAGGGAGCTCTGGTAGCTTGGCCACTCCTGGACAAAGAGCTGGGCTGAGAGGGGCTGCTGTGTACCTCGCCTGGGACCAAGCACCGCGCAGTCTGTCCCTCATCGCCCAAGGCCAAGGACAGGACACGCCCCTGGAGGAGATGGGCGTTTTGTTTTGCACTGGGAGATCTGCTGCTGCCCTGGCCGGGGTGAGGGTGAGGGGTGACAGGCATGCCCTGGAGTGGGTGGTTTTCCCTTGGCCACTAGGCCAGTCTCCGATGACCCCCTTAACCTGTGGCAGATCACGGTCTGGGGGTGAGGAGCCCCAGGCTTCTCTTAGCCTGAGCCTTGCCTCCAAGTTGTTGAGCCTCTCTGGGCCTCGGTGTTGCCATCTGTAAATTGGTGCAGTGGGTGGTCTGTGAAGGACTGAATTCCAGAGTCCTTTGGAAGTCTGACTGTAGTCTGTTGGGCTGTAACTGAAATTCCCATGTCACTGATGGTCTCTTACCTGTTTCTTCACTCCCAGTCAGAAGGCTCCGAGCTGATAGTGACCAGTCTGTCTATCGGGCCCTTTTCCCATGAGTGGCCTCCCGGGGCGCTGCCTCCTCCCCAGCTCGGCCCCAGGCCCAGGCAGCCTCTCAGGGCTTCCAGGCAGGAGAGCCCCTGCCCCACCCCAGCCTGCTGGGTGACCCTGGCAGGCCCCAACCCTCGCCGGATGTGCAGTCCACAGGGTGGGCTTGGGGGTCCACCAGCCGCAGTCCACGTACACACAACGTGCGGCAGGGCTGGAGCGAGCTGGGGGTGGCGGAGCAAACCCTCCCCGCCAGCAGGCCCCAAGTGGCCATGAGAACGCTGGTGACCTGGCCTACCTGTGGGAGGACAGCAGAGGCACCCGAGGCCGTCCTGAACCCCGGCCAGTAGCACCTCGGGCGTAGGGACCCTGCAGGGCCCCTTTGGGAGGGGAGGACTTTATTGACATGGTGGTTCTAGCCCGAGAGAGGCAGCGGCTGGGTCTTAGGCCAGCTCTATCACTGCTGGGCCTCAGTTTCTCTTTTCCACATTGAGGGGCTTTGGCCAAGTGACCTGCAGGGTGCCCCCTGTCCCAACAGGAGATGTGATGATGGGCAGTGGGGCCGTGTCCTGAGGGATCCTGCGTGAGGCCTGGGGACAGAGGGGCAGATCCCTGCAGGGAGCGCCCCGGGGGAGCAGGCTGAGCCCTGGGCTGTAGCAGGCCCGCCACTCTCTGGGCCACTGCTCCAGGCCACTCTCCCGGCCGCTGCTCCAGGCCGCTCTCCCGGCCGCTGCTCCAGGCCGCTCTCCCGGCCGCTGCTCCAGGCCGCTCTCCTGGCCACTGCGGGCCACTGCGCAGGTTCCAGGGGCGCCTCCCGCACACCGAGCACCACCTTCAGCCTGTGGAGGAAAGGCCAGGGGGGCTCCGAGAAAGGTGCCTCCCTTGGCCGTGGCCTCCCGGGGAAGCAGGCAGAGCCTTTCTGGCTGGGTCCTCTGAGCGCGCCCGCCTGACTGAGGGGCCTCGGCTCGGTTCTGCCAGGAGCCTGTGGTGTCCCCAGGAAGGTCCCTGGAAGGGGGCGGAACCGAGGCAGAGCGAGGATGTCAGGGTGCCGTGGAATTCACTCTTACCCAGCACTGCGGCATCTCAGCTCGCTTGTGTTTTAATCCTGTCCAACTGTTATCGGCTGGTTCTTGTCCCCTGACAAGTGAGGACAGCCTGGCCCCACCTGCTAGGCGGCCCTGGGTCCACACATGCTGCAGAGACCCCCGGCACTTCCTGGCTTCCTCTGGGCTCTGTGAGCCCTTGCTGGAGTTCAGATTTAACGGGACCCTGCCACCCACCCTCTCACTGGTCTCACCCGACACCGGGCGGGCTGGAGCCTCTGGACAGGGCTGTGGGGGCGGCAGTGTTTTGAAAGGGTCCCGGGAGAGTCCAGGGGCAGCCAGGGCTGTGTCACACCCTTAAAACAAACCACACTGCAGTCAGGGGGCCTTGGCGTTAGAGCGCGAGGAGATTGGCAGCCACGGCGTCCCTTCGCTGACAGAGGGACAGCTGCAGCCGGGTGGGGTCACCTGCAGGCAGGCCTGTCCACACCAGCCACAACGTCTCCCAGCTGCTGCGGGAACCCCTGGAACTGGCCTGAGACTGAGCGCAGCGGCGTTCTCTCTCTGGACGTCGGGGTTGGCAGGCAGGGACCCCGGGGCCCAGTGATCCCACCAACGACAAGAGCAGCCTGGCAGGTCCCCGCCGAGCCCTCGCTGCCCTCCACCTTCCCAGCCTCCACCTTCTGCAGGGCAGGGAGGCTCCTCTCGGCGGCCACGTTGAGGAAGCGGTGAAGCCCTCCGTGGCATGTCCCAGACAGGGCTTCACAGTCCCCTGGGGCAGGGTGGAGAGCGGCCAAGGGAGCCGCTGTCAGCTGAGGGCTGAGCGCCAGGCTGTCACTCCGGGTGCCCCTGGCCCAGGAGGCCTGCCCACCCGACTGCAGCCCTGGCCTGCGTGCACGTCTCACACCACGCTCCACCTTGCTCCCCTGCGCCTGCTGCGTCCCGCACCAGCCACACCCATGTGCGCCCCTGGCTCACTGCTCTGCACCCCAGAAACGCCCTGTACCCCCTAGGACCCGGGCAGACCCATCCTCGCAGGCCCAGCTCACGGAAGCCCTTTCCCCTCCCCCAGCCCCTTCCCAGGCCCCTTCCCGCTCCCGGTGAACGACCTGCGGGCACCTGCCTCCCCTCCGCCCCCGGGGCACACAGCGGAGGGACACGGGGCAGGGCCGATGGGGGACAGGTCAGCCTGAGAAGGGCCGACCCCTGGGAAGCTTGTGCCTGACCCCGGGAAGCCCCTGAGCAAACAGCCCTCAGGCGCGGCGGGGACAGACGGGGCGCAGGGAAATGGGACCTGGCCACACTCGGCCCGGAGCAGAAAGGAAGCTAACGCCAAAGGCTTGGGAGAGAAGAAGCGACCACGCTCTCTCTGCCTGGCTCCAGGGCGCCAGCCTTGCCTGAGCACCAGAGGCTCAGGCCTGGCCTCCCCGACCAGGGCCCGTCCACATGTGGCAGATGACGCCAGTCTCATGGGACACCTCCGTGCGCTGCTCCGCATGAGCTCCGGCTGCAGGAATGCCGCGTGGTGGCTAGGCCACAGCTGCTGTCCCACTCGTGGCTCATCGAGATGGTGTCCTGAAAGGGACCAGGGCGCGAGTGGTGCCATGAGTCCCCTGGAGGGACTCCCGCCCTCCCTGTCAGCCAGCCTCCCTGGGGCCAGCCCTGTCCCCTGTCTGGGGCACCATGTGGAGCACAGCAGACGAGGTCTCAGCCCTCTGCAGATGTGAGGGGCTGGCTCTCCCAGAATAGGCGCCAACAGTCTACCCTCGCTTGCTAGGCAGGAGAAGGGGAGCTGGGAGAGACGTCCGAGGGAGCCGAGTGCTGCCCATGCCTCTGTTCATGCAAATCACCCGAGGGTGCTGGAGCCAGTGCACAGCCGGGCCACCCGCTCTGTGTGGCCCCTTGCGCACTGCAGCGCCGGGAGGGCTGGCGGGGTGGGGGTGCTGGGGCCAGAGTTGTGTAGCGCGCGCTTGCCGGCTAGCCCTCAGGAGGCCTGTGGCCTCAGCCGTGGGTCCTCCCAGGGGGACAGCTGAGCACAGGGGTTGCCAGGGGCAGGGGCTGCCCTCCTGTGGGCACCGGGGAAGGGAAAGGTTAGAGTTTGGGTCAAAGTCAGTGTGAGGGGTAGAGCTAGGGATTGGGGGCAAGGTCAGAGTCAGGGTCAGGTTAGATGTAGGGGCTAGGAGTGGAATTAGAGTGAGGGTGAGAGTGCGATCAAGGTCACATTAGGTTGGGGCTTTCCTGGTGGCTTTGTCAAGGGTTGCATAGACGCACACTCTGGCATTGACTCTTGCTGTGGGCAGGAACCTGGAATGGGGGCCAGGCTGCCAGGACCTTGGTCTCTCTGTGACCTTGGCCAGGTTCTTCCCCAGCTGCGTCTGTAAGAAGAGGAGGTGCACCGGCGCCACCGCTCTGCCATCAGGAGTGTCTTGGGCTGTGAAGGCAGCCAGGAGCTGCAGCCGGGCTCTGGGCACTTCAGAGAGGGTGCCAGGCTGGGGCTAAGCCCATGGACCCCTTATCTCCATTTCCTCCTCAACCCAGGAAACTGAGGCCCTGGGGGAAGGGGGAGCACACGTTCTTCCCCTCAATATGCCATGGGCTGAGTAGCTAGTTGGAAGCCGGACCTGCACGGTCTCCCTCCAGAGCCCAGGTGCCACCTGAGTGCTGAGCCCGGACCCCAGGTGTCTGGCCACCTGTCTCTGTCCCCCACCCCCACACAGAAGTTGCCTCCAGACCAGTAAGTCTTCACATGTGCCCTGGCTGAGGCCTGGCGCCCCAGGTCCAGGGCGTCTGGGAAGAGGTGGGGTGGGAGCAGTGTGGCCTGTTCCTCGGGGTCAGGTGGGGGCTGGCAGGTGCAGTGACCCGTTGAGCAGTAGCTATGGTCTGGGAAAAGCACATCAGAGAGTGATTGTTTTGTTTGGAGTTTTTAAGTTTTTTTTTTTTTTTTTTTTTGGCAGTAGAGGAAGAGCACAGGGTGCCAGCAATAGCAAGACGAAGCTGAGGGAGACCTCAGCAGTGTCTAGAAATTAACCTGTCCCTTTGCTCTGGTGGGGGCTGTTCCACCTCCAAAGTCAATAGTCCTCAGTTGAAGGTCTCCCGTGAGGGCAGTGGTGACCGTCTGGGACAAGGTGACTTTTCGGAGATGACAGGCTAGGCCAGGTGTCCTGCAGGTGAGTGCCACAAGTTGCTAATGGCCCAGGCCCAAAATCTCCCCTCCTGGGGTCTAAGATGCTCCATCCCCACCACGGAGTTGCTCTCCTCTTCAAGATCCTCACCCCTGCCTGGGCGTGGTGGCCTTTCCTCTAGTCCCAGCTACTGGGGAGGCTGAGGTGGGAGGATCCCTGACCCAGGAGCTTGAGACCAGCCTGGGCAGAGACCCAGTGGCCCCCTCTCATAGTGGGCGATGGCCACGTACCTCCCTAGACGTGTGGGCCGCGCCAGCAAGACACTTAGGAGTTGTCACATTTGTGTCATTATTATCAATATCCACACCTATCCCGACCCAGCAAGCAGCCGGGAGGCAAGAGAAGCAGCAGGTTAGTGACTCCCACGCCCCGGCCCTGCCCTGCTGCCCGAAGGTGCCCCTAGCCTGGTTTCCCGAAGGTGGGCGTGGAGGAGGGAGGGACGAGCAAGACAGCCCGGCTGTGCGGTGAGGGTCTGGCACAGCTAGCGTGGGCCTTTCTCATTCGCCCTCGCTGCCTCCTCGTCAAGCATTTTGTTTAAAAGAGTGGCACTTTTCCGGAGAATTGCCACAATTAGAGACTCCTTCTTTTTTCAGATTTTTTTTTAAATTTTAGTCCATTTCATCTTATAATGACACCTGCTGCCTGTGGAGGATGGGGGTGGGGGGAAGAAATGCCCACAGTGCCAGGATGGCTGCCCACTGC